CAAATTTAATGCTCTCTCTAAAAACATGGCTAGATAAGCTCCTAAAGTTTAGTCTACTGCCTGTTAATCACAGATAAAGGCAGATATTTCCCACAGTTCTTACCTTCTCTAGCAACTATTTTGGCTTTCACAGTACGGTGAGAATCTCAGCCATAGCGTTGAAAAGTTGTTAACGATCTTTTTATACATTCTGTGCTAAGGTTCACACTTTGCTTTAAGCCATAATGTGTTTTGTTTTTTTATTTACATTAAAAATCTTGTTCATTCCTGGTTTTAAAGAGCCTCTGGCAACTTGGCGGAAAGGGTCTTCACACAGCTTCAATTTATGCATAAATTGTGCCCACTCCTTATTGGGAAAATTTGCTCCTGGTCACTCACAGCGTGGTCACTTCCTGTATGGGTTACCATAAAGACCTCTACATGGTGCTGCCCTTGATCACGGCATGGAAGCTTTGTCTGCTCCAGAATGCAGCAGTGTAAGTAATCGTGGTTGTATCCCAGACTGCTCACATAGCGCTTATTCTCCGTGAATTGAGCTGGTTATCAATGCACTTCTAAATACAGTTTCAAGGGGCTGGTTCTTATCTATAAAGCCCTTCATGGATCTCCAATTAGATCTGCCCATCCAGTAAGATCTAATGGCATGCTTTGGGTCCTGTTGCTTTAGCAGTTACCCCAAAAGATATAGGAATAATGTCTTCTCTGTTGCTGGTCCTAACCTCTGGAACAGCATCCCATCTGAGATTTAGTTAATCCCAGTCCTGCCTGCCTAATAATAATAATGATGATGATGATGGAAGGGACCTTGGAGGTAATAATAATGATAAAGTTGGAAGGGACCTTGGAGGTCATCTAGTCCAACCCCCTGCTCAGGCAGGAAACCCTATACCATTTCAGACAAATGGCTGTCCAGTCTCTTCCCCAAGCAGTGGTTCTGGGATTGGTATGATTTGTCAAATGAGCTTTTTCTCAGCCTTTCTGTGTTTCTGTAAGTTTTATTTTATTTTATTTTGCACTGTGAGTTTATTATAGTGATGGCAGGCGGGCTAGGGTAGAGAACGTCAAGATCTAGCAAAATGAGAACAAAACCAGGATGTAGCAACGTGAGTAGATCCTCCTTGGAGATCTCACATTGAAACAATCTCCCAGTCCACTCTATATGCTTACCTTAATGAAGCACTTTCTATGGGTCCCACTATGGAGGATTTGCCATAAGTGATCAGCTTGAGTTCACATAGTTGGGGTTCATAAAAGGCAAACAGTCATTTGAGTAAAGCTCAAATCTTGGGGATTACTTGGACACATCCATACAGTTTTCCTAGCAACAATACAGACGTGGTTTTCCCTTATCCTTTTTTTTTTTTTTCATTTCCTGGTCTAGCTATACCTTGGGATTTTGTACTTAGCCACTTAGACCTTTTGAGATCAGCCAAGCAGTTGATGAGTAATAAGAGTTGCATAGAATGACAGATGGAACCAATTGCCAGTTTATAAACCAGTGGTTCTCAACCTTTTTAATGCCGCGACCCCCAACCAGTTGTAAGTCAAGGACTACTCAACCGGTCGTTAAGTCAAGGACTACTCAACTGGTGCAGCACCGTTTGCAGAATGGGACTTTTGGTGGGCTCAGCAGGGCAGAGACAGCCTGGACAATTCCTATTGGCTTTTGAAAGCCAATAGAATTAGACTCTATTCAAGAGAGTCTATTCTATTGGCTTTCAAAAACCCATAGAATAAAAGGGAGTAGCACAGCTAAGGAAAAGGGGGGGGGGAAATGGCGGACTGCGTTGTTTGGCGACCCCCGTGAAATGGTCGTTCGACCCCAAATGGGGTCCCGACCCACAGGTTGAGAACCACTGTTACAAACCAAACTGTTTTGAGGAATTTTGGTGCTTGCTAAGCTTGGACACCTCATAAACCCATCAGTATGAGAGTTACAACAGGTTTTTGCACCTCCACTAACTCATATCTTGATTCCATCTGCCATTGTCCTTAGGAGATACCCAGTTTTTCGTGGTCCCAATCAAGCTGCATACACCGCTGTTCCCTTAAGGTGATCTTGGCAATGCCCTTCCTGTTAACAGTTTAGAGGTATATTTTTAGATTTGGATCTTTAATGCTATTGCTTTATCTGTTGTGTTTTTAATGCTTTGCTTTAATATAGCTTTTATATCTGTATGCCTGTATTTTGTAGGCTGCATGGAACAGTTAAGGTAATGTGTGGCAAATTAAGTTTCTAAATAAGTATGTATACCAATACTTATTCCCCCAAGACTTGTTTCTAATTTCCCACGTGCACAAATTAAATACAAATCAGTTTTGTAGAGACAATAAGGCTTCTCTGCTTTGAAGCATTGGTTGACGGCAAGCAGTGCCATCCCTGTTGAAATTCTGCAGCTTGGTTTTGGAATTGCAGGCATTCTATGATAGTGCTAGATATCCTTAACACAGGAGTTTGGGGAACAAAATGTTCATGGACAGACAGAGGTTATATATCCCCCAGTCTTGCCTACGTTGCATGTTGGTTACATGGGATAGTCTTGCATACAGAAATTGTTTGAAAGTGGCTTAATATATTGCTGGTTTAGATTATTTAGCTAACTCCCTTATCTATGGGGTGATTGCTACCCATGTGCTTCTTGGTAACTTTGCAACCGGAGGACTCATTGAGAAGGCATTTTACTTCTGCTGTGATTGCTAAACCAAATGGCAGTTGAGTTGGGGTTATTATGATTTATGCACCATGTTATCGCCTTCGGGCCCTGCCCAAATTAGATTAGTAGTCTATGGAAATATGATCCCTTGCACTTGTTTCCACACACTTAAAGCCTCCAATGACACACATGCACTTTCCCTCTTTCAAAGATATTGGCACTGAATAGCAGTTGTTCCAAGGACATGACTGCAGTTTATGCACAAGATTAAAACACCCATAGTTCACATGACATGCTGGGGTCAATCAAGAGTGTGTGATGTGTACTCATCTACCTGTTGTTCAATTCCAGTCTCTGGATATCCTGATCAATGTTCAGAGCCTAATGGGACATTGCGTATGTGCATCTTTGAAACAGTGTTGATTCGCAGACTGCCCAGACAAATCCCTGCAGTTTTCTTGGCAAGATTTCTGAAATGGTTTCTCCTGGGCTCCTTTCTAGGACTGAGAGAGAGTGGCTGGGCCAAGATCACCCAGCTGGCTTAGTGTCTAAGGCAGGACTAGAACGCACAATCTTCTGGTTTCTATCCTAATGCCTTAACCACTAGACCCAGCTAGCTATCAATGGGGTGTTACTCTCTAGCACAGTGTTTCTCAACCTTGACAATTTTAAGGCATGTGGACTTCAACTCCTAGAATTCCACAGCCAGCATTGCTGGCTGTGGAATTCTGGGAGTTGAAATCCACATGCTTTAAAATTGTCAAGGTTGAGAAACACTGCAGTCTAGCAAAACTTGTACAACTATGAAAGCTACTCACCCATAGGCTGAATGGCAACAACCCCAGTATAAACAAAAGGAAGGTCCATTAAGAAGAAATCTTCAAGCTGATGAACTACCCATAGAGACTGTATCCAGTCTAAACTCACTGAATGAGCTGCCCAAGGTGGCTTAGGAGGGTGCAAGAGGTAATTGTCATAGTAATGGAGGTAGCTACTAACTTGGATTGTTTTAAAAATGGGTGGATGAATTCATAGAAGATTAAATCCCCGAAGAGCTATTGAAAGCTCCTTGCAAATACTTGATTGGGAGCATCCCCCATCAAGTACTTGGTGAAGGAAACAATAGTGGGAGAAGTATATTATACCAAACTAGGTAATATCATCAGTGCCAGAAAGGAATGGGATTTGCTGTTATTTTTATATATTGGTGACTTGCCTTGTCAATATTGGTGGGAGTGGTCTTGTTGGTTCCTTGATTGGGCTGTTGTTTACTGTTAGCTTGTTTGTCTGCATTGGTGGCTCCTTGACTGAGGTATTGTTTATTGATTATTGGTCTAGTATTGATGTTAATTTCTGCTCATATGGGTGTTGATTGCTAGTAGGGAGATGTTTTTGTTTCCTTTCTGGCTTTTTAATTGTCTCTTTTGAGTGGTGTGTAGATGTTGTTTATCTCTATGTGCCTGTCGATGGCTGATATATCTGAGTGTCAGGCTTCCTGGAATTCTGTACCAGGTTTTTTTTTTTTTGACTTAGATTGATCTAGGATGCTCGCAGTTACCCAACTGAAACCATGGTTGACTCTGTACATGCTGTGAACTTAGGGACTTTTCATCATGTCTTCTGACTACTAGTTGGTGTTCATGGATGCACTCCTCTAGTCTTCTGCCTGTTTGTCCTACATAGTGGCCATTACAGATGACTCCTGTTTCTTCTTCCGGGGCTAGACAGAACCAATCAAGGAACTACAATGTAGACAAATAAGCTAACAGTAAACCATAGCCTAATCAAGGAACCATCAAGATCACTCCCATGAACACTGACAAGGCAAGCCACTAGTATATAAAAATAAGAGCAAACCTGACTCCTGTTTAGCACTGACGATGTTACCTAGTTCGGTAACAAAACATCTGCAAGAAAACCACAAAGCTCAGAGAGCACCAACAGCTGCACAGTTCAACCCTGAGCTACAAATATTGCCTTCTATCAAAAAGTATATTATAATTTGTGACCATTTTGAAGAGTATATGGAAGCTTGTGCAAATTCAGAGGTTGTATAGGAACCTAAGTCAGGGGTAGGCAACCTTGGCTCTTTTATGACTCGTGGACTTCAACTCCCAGAATTCCTGCTGGCTCAGGAATTCTGGGAGTTGAAGTCCACGAGTCATAAAAGAGCCAAGGTTGCCTACCCCTGACCTAGGGGCTCATCTCATGCAAATAAAATTTAGAATGTTTCATGAGTAAATAGGGATTTTAGGTCAAGTCATTTCCATCCTAGTCCAACGCTTTAACATGGCGCCCTGAAACAACGCAAGTGTAGCTTTGCTTCTGTCATATAAATCCAGCACATCCTTTCTTGGCATATTTAATGTTCTTTCCTGTCGATTCAGTACTTGTTTCAGAAGTTTTCAATGAAATGGAAGTTAAACCAAAGAGCAGAAAGCGGAAGGTCACATCAAAAACACCACCAATGCCTTCGCTGATAGCACTCGTATAGCACAACAAAACGACACATGGAATTGATACAAAAAAACCAAAGAAAAGGGGAGAGCGGACCCCAGAGCTAGTCACACTAACTTTTCCAGGAGAAAATGTATGCCTTGCAATAAACGGAAGCCTGGCACTTGGTAGTAACTGTTGAATGAAGCAATCATTTGCATGCACCAAGCACGCCAAAAGAAACCCTTGTATCTTTTGACATTTTTCAGCCTGTTGGCACCATCAAGTTGCATCCGGCATGGCACCTTATCTCTCTACCCCAAATGACAAGCATCTTATTATTATTATTTTTTACACAGAAGTGAACAGAACCAAACAAATGGAAAATGTCTATGCAGCAAAGATGGGTCCCCACAATTAAAAATCAGTACACCCCTGGTGCTCATCCCTCAAGTGAATCCTACCTAGTAGCACATTGTGCCTATCCATAGTTCCACTCTGAATCTAAGTGCACAGGAATTTCTCTCTCCACTTGGCTGTATAGGCAAAAGAACACTTTGATTCAGGGTGCCCAAATCTCTGTGAAACTGGGACCTTTGACACTTTAAGAAGTTGCAGTTCATGCTGAAATCAGTTCCTTCAACTTCTAGATTTGGATCAGGCTAGTCTTGATTCTCCTCGCTGGAGAGTCCTGCCAAGGATGCTGTGTCAGTGGCAACGTTTCAGCTTATCTTCTAGCTTCTACAATCTTCCTTCCTTGCTAATGAGTTATTATCTCAATGCTAACCCTGTCTGTTCCTGTGTTTGATAGAGTCCGTGTTGCTCCATAGATGTACATGGAGAAAGCCCGCAGCAGTTTGGACTGAATCTGGAATATTGCACATTCGGTAACCTTTAAGTTTAACCTGTGCATTAAATTAAAAAAAAATATTAAACAAATTTGTTTCAGAAACAACATAAAATGATCCAGAGCACATTACATTTATGCACGTGATTAGATTGTCCCTTTGAGATGCCACCCCGAGTTGAGTTTGGTCCAGTTATTAACTTTAAAAAAATTGATCAAGAGTCCAAACAAGACACTGCAGGTTCCTTAAGGCTATGTTTCCCCAGAACTTCTGGATGTAAAATATACTTTTTTTTTTCATTTGTCCATGTACTGCAAAGCAGCTCTTATCCATGGCAAATCGGAAAGCAGTTAACAAAAATAAAAAAAAGAAGGGGGAGAGAATTAAAATCTGAAGCCAAGGAAGATGGATGCATTTCACAGCTTCATCTGCAAGAAAGAGAAAGAAAAATAAGAAATAATAGTAATAATTTGGTCCCCTTTGGAAGAACAACAATACCTTAATAACTCTGATGATGATGTTGATAGATCATCCAGCTGTTGTCATTAAATAATAATACAGTTCAGTGTAATAGTTCTCAGATGATTATTTATATTTTAGCAGATTCACTTTTTAAATCAGTATTTCTCAATCTCAACAACTTAAAGGATGTGTGGAATTGAACTCCCAGAATTCCTTAGACAGCCATACTGGCTAGGGAATTCTGGCAATTGAAGTCCACACCTCTTTAAGTTGACACAATTGAGAAATACTGCCTTAAATAAACCAACACGTTTGTAAAAGAGTCTTGAATGTAAAGTACCGTATATGCCAGCGTATAAGGCGACCCGGCGTATAAGATGACCCCCGTCTTTGGCGCCGAGTCGCATGCCTAGAACGTCGTCTTATACGCCAGAAACTACCAGTATTTCCGGCGTATAAGACGACTCGGCGTATAAGACAACCCCCGACTTTGCCGCCATTTTAACGCTTGCGGAAGTCGCCTTATACGCCGGCATATGCGGTATCCTTTGATATAGCCACAATGTATGAATGCACATAGATGCCTTTACATATATTCTTTTTCCTGAAAGTAAATTTTCACTCAGCAAGCTTGTTGCTGCCAGAGTTTTACAAATATAGAAGCCTCTCATTCTGAATGCTCCAACAGTCAGTTTTTAATCTTTTAAACACACAAACCTATTTGCATATTACATGCTCTCAAGCTACATATTCTTTGCATCTTTGCATGGCTGGATGGAGTTAGATCCTTTATTCACCCACTGTTTGTCTTCACTGACTGCATTAGTTATATTTATATGAATTATTGTACCATATCATACGTTTTTATTGTCATTAATTTGACAAGACATCAAAATGCTTTCTGTGTGGATGCCTCTCTTTTTGATTTGTTTTTAGCGTTGCAGAAATATACCAGTCTTCAGCAGACAAAACAGCCCTGGGGGGGGACAATCATGATCAGTAGCCTGGGAAAGCTAGATGATTTTTAAAGGAAGGATCAGGTAGGAGATCAGGCAGAATGGAGAGGCTTGACCTCTGAATAAGGAGCATCTCCCCTTTGCAAGTGTATGCTGCAGGTCTCAATCAATCAAAATCAATCAACCGACCACTATGTTGTTTTTCCCTTTCAGAAAGGAACTCAGAGCATTCTATTGGTTTTATGTCTACTTTAATTTACTTTTTGTTTTGATCCCCATGTTAATTATTTTAAGCTACTAGGGGAAAAAAAGTCAAATAAACTTTCAAGTTCCCAGTTTGCCAGTATCTTGAACAGAAGCTTGAACAGTTCTAAATAATAATAATAATAATAATAATAATAATAATAATAATAATAATAATAAAGTTGGAAGGGACCTTGGAGGTCATCTAGTCCAACCGCCTGCTCAGGCAGGAAACCCTATACCATTTCAGACAAATAGCTGTCCATTTTTTTCTTAAAAACTTCCAGTGTTGGAGCATTCACCGCTTCTGGAGGCAGGTTGTTCCACTGGTTAATTGTTCTAACTGTCAGGAAGTTTCTCCTTAGTTCTAGGTTGCTTCTCTCCTTGATTAGTTTCCATCCGTTGCTCCTTGTCCTGCCTTCATGCACTCTGGAGAATAGCTTGACTCCCTCTTCTTTGTGGCAGCCCCTGAGATATTGGCGCTCTACAAGGTATGTCCTGCATGTGTGTCATCTTAAGCCCCTGAATGAAAGGAACTATATCCATCCAACCAATCAGTCTGATCAGTAAAAGGTGAATAGGCAAGAAAGTTGGATTGGATCCCTTTTCTACCATTTTAATGAAACGGGATTAACTTTCCAACCTGACCTTTGGGAAGTATTTATTTATTTATTCTGTAGATATTCTAATTATGTTACAGTCCTGTTGCTTTTGAATTTACTTTCAAAGCATTCTGATTATCTCTCTTGGACAGAAAGCAGGATATAAACAAATGGCACAAGATAAGCGTAAGCTCTTTAAATCACAACTGATAATAAGGCTGAATCAAAGTCCATTCAGGTGGACATTTATGGGCTTGTCCATTATATGGCTCCCTCTGCTGGTGACCATTATGGAAAACAGCCATCTCTGCTAGGGTTTTTCAGCACCAAGACCTTTTCATGTTCCTCAAATACTTCAGGAAATTGCTTTGTGGTTCATTTGACTACTCATTAACAAATGCAAATCGACAATGTACTGCATTAACACTTTCCCTTTTTTAGCAATGATCACTGCTGTTGCTGTGCTAATGTTTTCTCTCACCTATTGGAAAATTTTTAATAGATCAGCTGTTGTTCCCCTAAGAAGTGTAATTTTATTTATATATATATATATATATATATATATATATATATATATATATATATATATATATATATATATATATATATATATATATGTCTTTGGTTGTTCGGGTTTTCTCCCGCGTAAAATTGGAAGTGTCCTGGCGACGTTTTGACGAAGTCCCATTCGTCATCTTCAGGCTGGTGTTTTCAGCTTCGTGCTTCGAGCAGCAATGTGTGGTCTTAGCTGTTTCTTCCTTTTAACTGCCAGTGGGGGTATGAACTGATTGGGTGGGAGCTTAGCTGTGTTCTGATTGGGTGGAGGTGTGTTCTGATTGGTTAGGAGCGTGGCTGTGCTCTGATTGGCTGGGGGGTTGGCTGTGCTCTGATTGGCTGGGGGAGTGTTATGTTTGGTTGTGCTCAGGTTAGTCTGAGTTGCAGAGGGGTTTAAGATTTTGGGCTGCCTTGCTATTTTTTGGCTTCGCGTTTGTGGTCGTGCCTCATTTTCATGGAGGGTGTCAGTTTGCTTCATGTATGGATTGGAGGGCTTTAAAGTGGCTAATGATGCAGCTGTGGTCTGGCTTCTGGTTTGTGGTCGTGCCTCATCATCGGTGTGGCTTTGGGTTTGCTTTTTGCGTGGATGTGTGGTGGTGACATCCTGTGTGGTTTTTGTGAGTGTGGGTCTGGTATCATTTTTTGTGTTAGGGAGTCGTTTGTCAATAAGGGCGGGTTTCCAAATGGCTGGTAGGCGGGAGGTATCATCTCGCTTGTTCATGCTGTGTGGGCGTTTTTCTATCTCGATGGCTTCTCTGATTATTCTGTTATTAAAATGTTCACTTTTGGCAATGGTTCTGGTATTTTTAAAGTCAATTTCATGTCCTGTGGCTTTAAGGTGTTGGACCAGGGAAGATGTTGGTTCCTCTTTTTTGACTGAGTTCTTATGTTCTTCAATGCGTGCACTTATTCTTCTGTTGGTTTGTCCGATGTATGTGGTGGGACAAGTGGTGCATGGGATTTCGTATACTCCTTGATTTTCTAATTCAATTTTATCTTTGGGGTTTCTAAGGATGGTGGATATTTTTCTGTTTGTGCAGAATGCTGTTTTGATGTTGTGTTTATGGAGGATCTTACTGATTCTGTCTGTGGTGCCTTTTATGTATGGGAGGAGGGCTTTGCCATTTTCTTGTTCTTCGTCTTGGATTTTCATAAAGAAACAAAACTTACAGCCCAGCGACCTACTCGTGAGCTTTGATGTCATATCCCTCTTCACCCAAGTGCCTATCAAAGAAGCCTTGACAGCTATCCAAAACAAATATAACCCCCCCAAACACATCTTAGATCTGACCAACCACTGCCTATCCAACACATACTTCATCTATAATGGACAAAAATACAAACAAACAGAAGGAGCACCCATGGGATCACCCCTCTCACCTGTCATTGCCAACCTCTACATGGAACACTTTGAAACCCAAGCTCTAGAAAAATCGGATCACAAACCCAAACTCTGGCTCAGATACGTAGATGACACCTTCATAATCTGGCCACATGGGAAAGAAAAACTAGACAACTTCCTCACACACCTCAACAGCCTACACCCCAAAATACAGTTCACCATGGAAACAGAAGCTAACAACCAACTTCCCTTCCTGGATGTCTTAGTCTACAAGAAATCCAATGGCTCCCTAGGACACACCATCTACCAGAAGAAAACACACACAAACCGCTATCTGCACGCTCTCTCACACCACCACCCAGCACAGATCAACTCTGTAGCCAAGACACTCATCTCCAGAACAAAACGCTTAGCTGACGAACAACACCTAAAAACCGAACTACACACTCTCACCAATGTACTAACATCCAATGGATTCCAAAGAAATAAGATTACAAACCTAATCCAAAAAGAAACCCCCACTAAAATCCAAGACGAAGAACAAGAAAACGGCAAAGCCCTCCTCCCATACATAAAAGGCACCACAGACAGAATCAGTAAGATCCTCCATAAACACAACATCAAAACAGCATTCTGCACAAACAGAAAAATATCCACCATCCTTAGAAACCCCAAAGATAAAATTGAATTAGAAAATCAAGGAGTATACGAAATCCCATGCACCACTTGTCCCACCACATACATCGGACAAACCAACAGAAGAATAAGTGCACGCATTGAAGAACATAAGAACTCAGTCAAAAAAGAGGAACCAACATCTTCCCTGGTCCAACACCTTAAAGCCACAGGACATGAAATTGACTTTAAAAATACCAGAACCATTGCCAAAAGTGAACATTTTAATAACAGAATAATCAGAGAAGCCATCGAGATAGAAAAACGCCCACACAGCATGAACAAGCGAGATGATACCTCCCGCCTACCAGCCATTTGGAAACCCGCCCTTATTGACAAACGACTCCCTAACACAAAAAATGATACCAGACCCACACTCACAAAAACCACACAGGATGTCACCACCACACATCCACGCAAAAAGCAAACCCAAAGCCACACCGATGATGAGGCACGACCACAAACCAGAAGCCAGACCAGAGCTGCATCATTAGCCACTTTAAAGCCCTCCAATCCATACATGAAGCAAACTGACACCCTCCATGAAAATGAGGCACGACCACAAACGCGAAGCCAAAAAATAGCAAGGCAGCCCAAAATCTTAAACCCCTCTGCAACTCAGACTAACCTGAGCACAACCAAACATAACACTCCCCCAGCCAATCAGAGCACAGCCAACCCCCCAGCCAATCAGAGCACAGCCAGCCCCTAACCAATCAGAACACACCTCCACCCAATCAGAACACAGCCAAGCTCCCACCCAATCAGTTCATACCCCCACTGGCAGTTAAAAGGAAGAAACAGCTAAGACCACACATTGCTGCTCGAAGCACGAAGCTGAAAACACCAGCCTGAAGATGACGAATGGGACTTCGTCGAAACGTCGCCAAGACACTTCCAATTTTACGCGGGAGAAAACCCGAACAACCAAAGACCTACATACAAACACCCGCGAAAACCTCAGAAAACAAAATATATATATATATATATATATATATATATATATATATATATATATTATATATATATATATGTAGGTCTTTGGTTGTTTGGGTTTTCTCCCACGTAAAATTGGAAGTGTCTTGGCGACGTTTCGACGAAGTCCCATTCGTCATCTTCAGGCTGGTGCTCCCGAACAACCAAAGACCTATATATATATATATATGTGTGTGTGTGTGTGTGTGTGTGTGTGTGTGTGTGTGTGTATTAATTGTATTATGCTTTTTTTTAAAAAAAAGATTGAAACAGGCTGTCTGGATGCAGGTTTCTGGTCTTTGCTAGGTCACAACATTGTGCAGCTACAGCCAAAAAAGCCAATGTAATCGTAGGTTGCATTAACAGAGGGACAGAATCAATATCACGTGAAATAGTACCGCTTTATAAAGCTTTAGTACGACCACACGTGGAATACTGCATCTAGTTTTGGTAACCATATTATAAAAAAGATGTAGAGACTCTGGGAAGAGTACAAAAAAGACCAGCAAAGATGATTAGGGGGCTGGAAGCTAAAACATATGAATGGTTGTAGGAATTGGGTTTGTCTAGTCTAGTGAAACGAAGGACTAGGGATGACATGATAGCAACATTTGAAGGGCTGCCACAAAGAAGAGGGGGGTCAACCTATTTTCCAAAGCACCAGAAGGCAAGACAAGAAACAAAGGATGGAAACTAATCAAGGAGAGAAGCAACCTAGAACTAAGGAGAACTGTCCTGACAGAATAATTAACCAGTGGAATGGCTTGCCTCCAGAAGATGTGGGTGCTCTATCACTGGAGACATTTAAGAAGAGATTGGAAAACCACTTGTCTGGAATGGTATAGGGTCACCTGCTTGAGTAGGGGTTGGATTAGAAGACCTCCAAAGTCCCTTCAAACTCTGTTATTCTGTAAAGGGCAGCCTGCAGCTGATTTATAGAGCTTCACTGCAAAGCATAGAACAGTAAATAAAGACCTCATATTAATATTTATGTCTGCAGTGGCTTTTGCCTAAGCAACAAGCATGAGCCCATGGGAACACAATCACCCAAGAAAAGGTTCTTAACTTACCACCTGTGACCTGGAATTATGACTTGCTGACATTCTCATATATGACATCGCTAATGCAAAACTGCTGTTTCTTCTTTAGCCACATCAGTTGCACACATTGGTGAATAAAAATGTATTGTTCCTGTAGAAGGAGAAACACCTCCAGTCACCCATATATATTTATATATAAATATATTTGAAAGGTCCCCTGCTCTCCAACATTTTTGTGCTGCTGTCCCAGAGCCAGCTTTATTACAAGATTTTTTACCAACTTTCCTAGAATTGTCAGTGCCCCACAAAATATTAAAATTCTTGGCTTTACTTCCTCCAGAATTCAGATATGAGTATTACATTATGATTTAACTGATGTTCTGTTCGCTTTATTTTTCTGCAAATTAGCATTTCTCAACTTCAGCCATTTTAAGATAAGATTTAATTCCCAGAATAACCCAGTCAGCAATGGGCATTCTGGGTGTTGACATCCACACATCTTAAAATGGCTGAATTTGGGAACACTACGGTAATCTAAACCAGAGGTCCTCAACCTTTTTGGCACCAGGAACCAGTTCCATGGAGAAAGGTTTTTCGGTGGACCAGAGAGTGTGTGGTTTCGTGTACTGCCTGCATCCCATGGATGGGGCTTTGCTTGTTTGTGCAGACCATTTGCTGGCATGCCACGGACCGGTACTGGTCCACGGACTGGGGGTTGGGGACCCCTGGTGTAAACCATTCTTTTGACTGCCTTAGCCACTTTAAGATGTCTGGACTTCAACTCCCAGAATTCCCCAGCCAGCACAGAGAGACAGGAATCTCAAATTTGCAAGACCGTCTAGATACTACAGGTTTGGGGGATGTTAAAAATATCCTTCAAAGTGCCAATTTACAGTCCATGAGTTCACAACATTTGCCTCTGTTTCATCAAGGAGGGTTATGGCCACGTGATGGAGCTAGAGGATTAATTTTCCACAGTATAAAGAAACTTAAAACCAGGTGGAAAGAGAATGATGTTTGATTTGCAGGTTTATACTGAAACAATTCAGAGAAGCTGCTCAAAATTTGCTTCTTAAAAGGATACTGACATCTAGTGGTCAGCCTTAGGTGAGTTTTTCACAGCTCAGCGTGCTCTTGACATGAGAGTAGATATACTCATGGATAAGTGATGAAAAGTTAGAACATTTTTCCCAACTTTTTGTTGTTCTAGGACAGAGGTAGGCAACCTTGGCTCTTTTATGACTCGTTGACTTCAATTCTTGGAGTTGAAGTCCACCAGTCATAAAAGAGCAGAGGTTGCCTACCCTGGTTCTAGGACTAACACAACTAGAAAAATGCAGATGACTAGCAGAGGACAGCCAGGAAATACATTAACTCTTTATTGCCAACACTTGGTGGTTCTGAATACTTGCAGCCCAAATCTGAGTAGTGATCTGACACTAACCAGCTGTGTTGCCTGCTCTGCAATTGAACAGTGTCACACTGGGGAAAGATTGATTGGGAATTCTTGGTGGAATCTGTGTCAAACTTAACAGAGCATCAAACAAAACTGTTATCCAAATAATAAAACTCAAGAACAGTAAACCTGACTTGTCCGACCTAGCGTTGGGGATACAACTACCCAAATTGTAAGCTGTGAAAAAAGCATGCTTTTAATTCTCCTACTGTTCCAATCCAGGCAATTCAATGCAGAGTATCCTGTTCTTTGGGGTTTCATGCTGTCACACATTTGGGGCATTCAATAAGCTAGACTTGATTTATTGAAGCATGACAGCACCCTACTGAGGTTGTGTGTAAGACGAGAAGGAGGCAAGACATAACATGGCTTTGCCAGAGAAACAGAAGGTTTGACCAGCTGGCAAACAGCAGGGTTTCAGCATCCCTGCAAAAGTTGACAATATCTCATCTGTGGATATTTTGGAAGAAAGGTTAATTGAAAACAACTCGACGAACAAATGGAAAATGAAGGTATCTAAAAGGACCAGCATCAGACCTGATCTTCAAGGTGGTAACAACAACTCGGATGCATAAGGAACAGCCAACCGAATTGTTTTGGAAAAATGGAAAAATATTATTATCCCACATGAAATTCTGGATTCAAGGAATGTTTATCTTTTTTTTTGAAAAGGCTATTTTTTTTCTAGTAATCCAAAAACAACACAATATATTTCCCTCTGGCACAGATTTTGTAACATTTTACAAGAATGAACAATTTTACACCTAACTTCATACAGTCTTAATAACGTATTTAACGGATGTATATCCATTTAGTATGACCCTGTTTACTGTTTTCTTCCTAATTGTTTGTGTGACTTTTGTTATGCTTGACCAATAAAATAATGTGCTGGGTTTGTGTATTAGTCATTCTGTATATTGTTATCTATATATTTCTTTAAAAAAAATTGTAATAGAATTATTTTTAAAATAACACTTGGATTACAATGCAAATAGCAATGTAAAATTGCTGCTGGACTGTACCATCTCGGATTGCAGTGGGGGTTTTGAAAGAGGAAGTCGTGTTTAACTTCTCCCTCAGAAATTAATACATTAAAACAACTGCCCATAAAACTTAGCATGTCAAGGAAGTGGTTCTAGATTATGTGTGCCTATACTGTACGTCTGTCTGGACATGCCCACGCAGATATATGGCTCAAGCCCACCTCAGTAATGAATGGTTTTGCATGTTAACTCTTTGAGAAAGACCAAAAAACAGGTATGGTTTCAACCATGGTTTTTATAGTTGCTGGGTAGGATAACAGAAACTTGAAAGCCTGCCAGCGTTTCTTTAAGCTCCATCTTATATCTCTTTTTATACCAAACCAAGGTGGAGTTTTTGAGGTTTGTTTCTCATATTTTCCTCTTTTTTAGGACTGAGTAACCTTTCCAAAAATTTCTCTCCTTAACGGTTCGCTCCTTCCTTCTGCATTCCCAAAACCAGGTCTACATCCCTTCTACTGCGTGGTTGAGGCCATTTTCTCGCGGCCTGATCCGCTACACATGGCTGCCAAGACAGAAGAAGCTCTGTGTACGTTGCTTTGAACTCCTGAATGAAAGTTGGGATAAAGCTAATAAATATATAGGCAAAAAGGATGGTGGTGATGCCATGTTTGCACTCTCACAGATGTTCACCCTTTGTAGGCACAGCTGCTTTATTTTCTCCTCCTGGTTTCAGTGCTTTCCATTTATGGCGGTTACATCTTTTATAGTGGGATGTTCAATATTCTATACTTTCTAATCATCATTCTAGCCACTGTCTATCCACTGCAGGATGAAGGCCTATAGGTTTCTGAGTAACCAAAGGAGGCATCGAGCAAATAAATGAATCAATCTGGCTGTTTGAAACATGCATAAGTAAAAGTCATACCTCTGTCTGAACCATGGACATCCGATAAGACCTCATATCGGATACCATTCCCAATATATCTACAAATTCATGATCACGAATGTGCTGTAAAAGCCGGTCTAATGCTATGAAGGTCCCAGTTCGTCCTACACCAGCACTGCAAAACAAACATAGCGTTACACACCATTGCTTATGAGTTGAGAAATAGGCTCATTTTGCATTCTATTCTGGGAAATCTTATAAACTCCACAAATATCCATAATCACAGCATACTGTATATTCTACCCTCTAATGTTCATTGTTATTACAACACATCCTTTGGTGTATATCGGGAAACCTAAGTAGGGAAGTGCTAATGATTTTTAAAGCATTTCTCTTGATAATATACCAGAGGGGAAAAACTCAAGTATTTGATAGCGTTGTGATTAAGGATGGGGGTCTGGCCATGCCTATAAGAAGCTGATGGTTGGGCATCTCTTCATCATCCATTGCATTTGAGGAAAAGAACAAATCTGGTTGGTTTCCATATGCAAATTCCCTCATGTTTTTCTGCATGTTTTGAATCAGAAAAAGATAAACTCCAGTCCATCCTGTTCAGCACATTTGGACAATCACTTCACACAGAAATCCAGGGCAGGTTTCATTTTACATTGCTCATCCAGCCTTTCCTGCAGTTCAAGGCCATCTGCAAGAGGGCTTCAGTAGCATCTAAGCCAGTGGTTCTCAACCTTTTTAATGCCGCGACCCCCAACCGGTCGTAAATCGAGGACTACTCAACCAGTCGTAAGTCGAGGACTACTCAACTGGTGCAGCACCGTTTGCAGAATGGGACTTTTGGAGGGCTCAGCAGGGCAGAGACAGCCTGGACAATTCCTATTGGCTTTTGAAAGCCAATAGAATTAGACTCTATTCCAGAGAGTCTATTCTATTGGCTTTCAAAAGCCAAGAGAATAAAAGGGAGTAGCACAGCTAAGGAAAAGGGGGAAAAAATGGCGGACTGCGTTGTTTGGCGACTCCCATGAAATGGTCGTTCGACCCCAAATGGGGTCCCAACCCACAGGTTGAGAACCGCTGATCTAAGCCATTGTGCTTGGAGCTTCGCCCATGAGCTACTAGACTTCCATCAAAAATTAAGAGTCTGAATTAGTGGGCTTCTTCCTCTCACCTAATCTCGTTCCTGACCAAATCATATGTTTTCATCTGTAGATCTACGGGCAGGAACTGTTTCATTTCTGAATTTTGTAAGTTATTCTGACCTTCAGAGTCTCATGATGGGGTGATTGACAATTGTTTTATGTAAATGAATAAGACCGAAGAATACTATATTAAGACAGTGATTGACTGTAAGATAATAATTGAATACAGATTGTGCTGGAATATTGTATTTTCAGAAAGAGGAGGAGGAACAGGAAAAGGAGGAGAAGGGGGAGAAATCTATTTTTCTATTCAAATGTAATTTAAGCTGATAGCCTTAAGTTTCACCTAAAACCACAGAAGTGGATAAAGAGATATAAAATTCTGGGATTTTCAGCATAATGAAATGATTGCCATGCTCCTCTTCACAATTTCTCCCCAAATAAGGAGCTATACATAGTGGCACTCCTAAAACCACGTACTGGTAATGTAGGAAGAACTAAAGTGGCAAATGAGAGCATGTAGTGAAACTCTCCCATCGAAGCATCTTAAAAGGCACAAAAACAGCCTGTCAGTAGAAAAGCTCTTTGACCCACAATTTAGAGACTTCAGTGAGCTCTCTAACCAAACAGAATGCAACTTCTAATAAGGAAAGCTGGCAAAGAAAACTCATATCCCTTCTCATTCCCCTTCACTACAAAAAACCCCCCACATATTTGCTAGTGAGCAGGAAGCAACACAACATTGTTCTTCTGGCTATGTTTTGTTCACATCTTCCACATCTGGGGGGGGGGGAGAGAAAGAACTTACCTGCAGTGTACAATCATGGGCCCCTTGCTTTTCGTTGCCTGCTGCCTGACCATATGTACAAAGTGCAAAATGCTTTCCGCTGCGTTGGTGGGAGGAACACCATGGTCAGGCCAAGAGGTGTAATTAAAATGCATCACATCCTGCACTTCATCTGCCTGCGTGGAAGGAAAAACACAAAGGTTCCAGAATAACATCTGCCATTGCCAGTAAGTGGTCACTTACACAGGTAAAAATCATCAAAGCACCGAGCTGGGTAAGAGTCTTCAGTCTAACGTTTTACTTTGCAGGGGATTATTTTATTTACATATTAAGACTTATTTGCTGCCTGTCTCACTTAGATAAAGCTGTTGGCTAATTAATAAATGGGAGCTTTCCCCATGACTATAGTTAGTCTCAACGTACAGCCACAACTGAGCCCAGAAATATAGTCCTACGTTGTGGCAATGGTTAATCAAGTTGCTCACACGATTGCCTTGCTTAACAACCATAATCCCAGCTGTACAATTGCAGTCTTTAAATGGAACACAAGGTGTCTCAGGGTGGGGAAGGGGCTAGGAGGCCACAGGCCCATGTTGCAGTTTCTCCCTAGCTTGCTCTGGACACTTCCACCTGGTGAGCCACCCCGTGTAGGGTTTCTGGTGCCCACCTGTTGAGGCACACGTTGAAAGCTTTGGGGCCTCCTCCACCCACCTCCTCCAGTCATGCCTTGCTCTACTTACCTTTCCCAAAAATTGCCTTTCCCAAGGAGAAGCAGCCGATGAATTGCAGATGCTCCCAAAATGGCGCTCGCTTCCGGAATGGCACATAGCGGCCTCTTTATAGGAAGGCTGCATGATGGATTGGCTGTTTCTCTTTGCGAAAGGCAAATTTTGTCCATGCAAAGGTGGGGGGCATAGCAGCAGCCATAAATTCGGGGACGGGTTATAAGTCCCTTCATTCAGCACCAACATAATTTTGAATGGCAGCTGAATAAATGGTCATAAATTGTGGACTTACTGTATCTGTCTTGTGTTAAGATCCAAGGTCTCTTGACTGAGATTATGGATTATCGCTTTTAAGATGAGGCAAGGAGAAGCAGCTAAACCTGCCCAAACGCATACCTAGATATATTCATACAGGAAAGTATTGTTTATGTAATATTAACATGTGGATTGTGTCTAGATTCTGTTCTAGTTTACGACCTCAAGACCCAGAAACCAATGTCTTGCGCAAAAAATAAATATTGAATATAAGACTATTGGGAGTCCAGGAATCTGATCTGAGAACTGAATGGTGCACACAATTTCCTCTAGATCATCCAAGTTTTCGTTTTCAGCAGTTTAATTTAAATGCAGAGGGAAGTAGAGATGATAACACCCAGGCAGCCTTGGCTGATCGCAGAAAAGCAAAATAAGGTCAGACCTAATGGCATGAGAGGATTATGAAATCCAGAGTAATAGACTACACAGTGGGAACTTGAAGAAACACAAAGGATTATCAGAGCCATATAATTACTTTTTTTTTTTACATATTCAGCGGTATTTGCTGATTAAAAAAAGACCATCTGAAGTAAATGAAAACTTAGATGAGCAGGAAGGTCTGAAAGGTGAATGGAAACCTACACACACACACTCACACACACAAACACATCATAGTATGTACAGGTAGTCACTTTGACTTCTGGTTTGACGTCGCGGCGAAACAGACGCAGGAAGATGGGAATCCATCTTCCACGTTTGATTTCGCCCCGCTGAAGTGTATTAATGGAGGAGAATTCCTAACACCTATAAGCTGCCTAACGCCATCTGTATTGACCTACATAGCTGATTCTGAAGTTCCTGTACATCCAGTCAGCTTGTTCTTCTTCTGAAAGCATCTCCACTGTGATGTCTCCATAAAGAACTGGCTCTTCCCCAAAAGGCCAATAATGGTCACATTTTACCTGGAAAGGAAGAAAAACAAAGCAAAGTTACCACAGAGTAAAAAAGCTTTTAAAAGGTTTCTCTTGGCAACCACCAAAGTGGATGAAAGAATCCAAGGAAGGAACATGCAAATCCAGACATAAACACAACCCTTTTATCCAGAAAACCTCAATGCATCCCCTTCGTTGTGGGGGTTATTTTGAGTTGGATAGTGCTTGTCTCTTTTGTATTAGGTATTACTAAGAAAAAGACAGAGAAGCAAACCTGTCTACAATAATTAGGCTGAATTAGGCTGCTGGTCTGTCTAGATCAGTGTGGACTATATTGGGTGAAGTGGCTTTCTAAGATTTCTCTTCCAGTTTTGTCAGCCCATATGAATTATGGGTCAAAACTAGCAAGATGGTTTATTGCTTGAGCTTGCAAAAGGGGGAAACAAACTGAATCCATTATTTCCCAAGGAATTAAATTTAACCTCAGACAGTTAGAACAATTAACCAGTGGAATAACCTACCTCAGAAGCAGTGAATGCTCCAACACTGGAAGTTTTTAAGAAGAGACTGACAGCCATTTGTCTGAAATGGTATAGGGTTTTCTGAGTGGGGGGTTGGACTAGATGACCTCCTCCAAGGTCCCTTCCAACTTTCATATGTAAAGTGTGTCTGACTGAGGTTAATTTTAATTCCATTCATCCATCCACTTTGTGTGCTAATTGTATGTATATATAGCTGAAGCCAGTGGAATGGATGGAGATTTTATCTATATATATATCCATCCATCCATTCATTGGTTTCAGCTATATATACAGTATACACATACAATATATTTTATTATCTAACTATATCTATCTATCTGTCTGTCTGTCTGTCTGTCTGTCTGTCTGTCTGTCTGTCTGTCTGTCTGTCTGTCTGTCTATCTATCTATCTATCTATCTATCGTACATTTGCTAAAAGTCTGTTTCCAAAAATATTTGGGATTGTACAATAAAAAAACAGCTGTATCTGAGATGAATGTGGCACTACAGATAAATCAATAAACCAATTCCTTTAGTTGTGTTGTAAGAACAGCTAATAAGGATGAATCATCATTTTCCAATAAAAGTGTTGGAGGAAAAAACAACTGGGCCAGCAAGAAGGTTAGCCAGTTTAATGGAGTAGCTAATGGCACTGGGCTAGAAACTGAGAGACTATGAGTTCTAGTACAGCCTTAGCCGCAAAGCCTGATGAGTGACTTTGGGTCAGTCCTTCTAAGCCCTAAAACCATTTCCAAAATCTTGCTGAGAAGACTGCAGGAACTTGTGCAGGCAGTTTCCAGTAGCCCAAAAATGACTCAAAGGGACACACGGATATAATGCTAGATATAGAATTTTAGCAAGACTCCTTGTTCCAAGAGGCATGAAAGAATGTAGAATCACAGAACAGGAAGTGACCTCAGATATTATTTTATCTAATGCTCTGCTCAGTCTACCTACCCTTCTCTTCTCATTGCACTGAGTAAGCATAACAATGATTTGTGACTTCTGCTGGAGAACCATCTTCCAAAAGTCATTCCTTGTCTCAGGGAGTGGTCCTTGTGTTGCAATATACTCTTGTGGAGAGTTATAACCCTACAAAAGAAAAAGCTTACTCCAGTATTATTTTATTGATACATGTTTTTAAATAAATAGTGCCTGTTAAATCACATCAGACTATAGTTTCTTTGCAAGGATGTCTGCAGAATGATTAATTATTACGTAAACATTGCCCTTAAATTTTGTGAATCTTTAGGTTACCTTTTGTACACCCGGTACCCTTTTTTTCTGAAATTGTAGCAACTCTGAATGTGGGTATTAGTTGTCTCTACCTTGGACAGGTGGCACACACACATGTCTAGTTCATTTCAAATCCTGATCTAGCTTTGCTTAATGTCCAGGATCATCCTATGCCTATTTCTGCTGTCCTCCAAGACCTATCCTGTGTTTCCAGAATCAGATTTTATTTATTTTCTTGCATTACAGGATCATCATGTTTGCAAAGTTAAATCCATCAGGCAAGTGGGAGGTTATTGCCTCTAATTTTATCTTACATACATGTGCTGTGCATGTATTGCAGTCCCTAAATATGCAGAAGCAACTGTTCTTATGTTTAAATGATTCTGTTCACTTAGGCGCTAATTGGCATGCCATTAACTAGAATTGCTACTAGAAGGAACAATTTTAACTGTTTACATACAAGAGCTGTGGTGGTACAGTGGTTAAAATACACTATTGACGGCTAATTCTACCCACTGCTTGGAGTTTGATCTTGACCAATTCAAGGTTGACCCATTCTTCTGTCCTTCCAAGGTCAGTGAAATGAAGACCCAGATTGTTGGGGGCAATATGCTGATTCTATAAACTGCTTAGAGAGGGCCGTAAAGCACTGTGAAGTGGTATATAAATCTAAGTGCTATTGCTATTACATTCCGGGTAGTATTTCCCAAGCTATGAAAATACAGTTACTTATCTGAGTCCAAGTTACTTACAGGAATGTAGTTGGCATTAATATAATCAGAGCCTTCTTCTTCATTCATTGAAACCAACTGAACACGGCTGAAGTCATCTGCAAAAAGGCAACATATCCAATAATGAATTCAACATAAAAACATATCACAAATTTTGGAATTAAGTCTCTGAAAATTTTACATACGTTTGCATGGATTTGGGGAAAAAAATCAAGAACCAATCAATTTGCAGTAGCTTATATTTCAATACATTCACACTTTTTGTATGCAGGGCAGGGGAAAATACCTTATTGCTACTGCCCAGAAAAATCCTTCACTTTTGGATTGCCAGGAGCACATTGACATTTCAAAGAACACTTGAGAATATGCTACTATATGGTGTATCTGTCTGTGCATAGGCGCACATTGCTTAAAATGTAAAATTCTACCCTTATGCTACCCTTAGGAAGGAAGGAAGGAAGGAGGGAGGGAAGGAAGGAAGAAAATTTCACTATGGGATAATTTAAATATAAAAAAATGATAGGAATGTAAGTCACAGGAGTGCTATGCTTTTATGCTCAAGAAAAGGCAGTAGCATCAATTGAATAAATAAAATAGTACCATGCAGTACATTTTCTCCTATTCTTACTATCATTCAGAGGGAAAGATCAAGTTAAGTAGACAAGTAGGCTAACAGAGAATATGATGGCAAAATATGCTGATATAGTCTTGGTAGTTGCCCAACAATGCTACCCTTTGGTGCTGGCATTCCATGCCATTTGGATGCCAGTACAAAGTCTAGTGTTACATACAGCAAGTCCCTCCTAAAAGAACAACTTACAAGGCAGAATATTTGTGTAGCGGTTTTTGCTGCGATTCATGGGAAGATCCGCCGCAAAATGTGGGGTTTCCAGCCCAATCAGTTTCAGTTCCTGAGTGTAACACACAAACACAGGCACATTATGCTTAGACATAAACGGACCCAGGAAACTACAGACCAATCAGTTTAACATCAATACCTGGGAAGATCCTAGAAAAGATAATCAAAAAACAGATCTGCAAACAACCAGAAGCAAACAAAGTTATAACCAGTAGCCAGCAAAGATTTGTTAAAAAAAGATCATGCCAAACCAATCTTATTTCATTCTTTGATAAAGTGACTAAACTAGTAGACCAGCAAAATGCCGTGGAAGTAGTATACTTAGATTTCAGCAAGAAGAAATAGGGGAGACATGATAGCAGTATTCCAGTATTTGAGATACTGCCACAAAGAAGAGGAGGTCAAATTATTCTCCAAAGCACCAGAGGGCAGGACAAGAAACAATGGTTAGAAACTGATCAGAGAGAGAAGCAAGCTGGAATTAAGGAGAAACTTCCTGACAGTGAGGACAATTAACCAGTGGAACAGCTTGCCTTCAGAAATCATTGGCGCTCCATCACTAGAGATTTTTAAGAAGAGGGTAGATAGTCACTTGTCTGAGATGGTATACGTTCTCCTGCTTGAGCAGGGGGCTAGACTAGAAGATCTCCAAGATCCCTTCCATTTATTCCATTCCATTCCATTCCATTCCATTCTGTACCAGCATATTTATCATTAGGCAAGATAACTCAATAACAATATTATAGTTAAAGCAACCCATTTGTTTTCAGAGAATAGCTGGGCTAAATCCCAACAAGGGAAGCAATTATGAGAACGAACCGTTATTTTGACTTAGCATTTGTTTGCTTTCCCCCCCCTCCATGGGATAAAATGGACAACAAAACAAAAAAAGAACAACATGATTAAGTAATGAGGAATTCTGAGACTAGGAGAAATCATCTTTGGGAAAGAATACTTATAGTACTTATTTGAATAAGTAAAATAGTAACATTTTTATCTACACCAAACATTAGTGGAATTATGTAGGAAAGAAATTTCTTCATTCATCCTACCTACATTTGCAAAGTGTACGCTACAATATCTTTGGAAGTAGTTGACCATAGCTGTCTTCTTCCTAGGGTTGAGAGAAAGGGACTTCCCCAAAGTCACCCAGCTGGCTTTCTGCCCAATGGGAGGGGGGACTAGAACTTACAATCTCCCAGTTTCTAGTTGGGTGCTTGAACCACTGCATATACACTTGTTTGAGTGTGTGTTTGTTGGATTGGCCCAGATAACTTACTAGGGTAGTACCTTTGTATTCAACTGCTTTAAAACTCATTGATTTTTTGACATGAAAATTTCATCCCAATACTCAGTGTTTGTTTGGCACTCGATGCGCAAGCTAGAACTTGTCGATGTCGGCAACCTTGTGTCTCACTGCATTAGTCCTTATGGGAAAATTTTGTTTGGTACTCATCATACCTCCCAGAACCAATTAACGATGAGTACCAAGGTACCACTCTATTAGGTCTTTTCTCCCACGATGAAAACATATAAAAAAGGATAGCTGTTAGATTATCTCCCTGCTTAAAGGAAATGATGAAATCTCTCTTCTTCATGCAAGGAAAGTTTTAAAAAGAAATTGAAGGAAAATATTTAAACTATTTAAAAAGTAATAATCCCTCCTCCACACACTTTGAACTGGAAAAGTCTAAGAATACCATTTGGTCATTTACTCATTTACTTCCATAGAATTTAAGTAGTTAATATCTGAGCTGGGATTACCTCAAATTGCAGAGAGAATTTGTAATCAGAATCTTTGGCCATATCCTTGACGTAGCTGTCAAAATCATCCAGCTGGACAGGGCTTTTTAAAAAAGGCATACAGAAAGAATGAAAGAAAATTATGTTATTCACAAAAGTCACCATCTGGTAATTGAAGCAGGAAGTTGAAGAAGTAATTTATTTCTGTATCCAACTAGCGTGGAGCTGGATGAGAGAAAAATCAATAAAATATGATATGTCAGATAGACATTACAGAACTGAGGCCAGAATGGTCTATATTTAAAAAAAATATATATTCCAGAGAGAGCTAGACAGTCCCAGTGTCCTCACTCACATGCATCTCTTCTTTGTTCAAGTCTTATCTAGACTAAGATGGAATGAAATAAATAAAAGCCAGCCCTCCTTCCCACAAATAGTAGGTGAGCTGATAAAAGTATTAGAATTACCTCATGTCATACCACAAGGGAAGACCCCTCACTTGACTGAATTCTGCATCCCCAGGCATGTGTCACAAGCCACAGTGATATCAAAAGTGGACCATCACTCCACAATGCAATTTGTGTCATGACTGCTGATGAAAATCATGTCTTTGCTTGTCATGACACACCTGTCTTTTGCACCCTCTCGCCTTCCTCTGAAGACATCTAAGGTCTGCTTCGCATGTATACGTGAAATCATATAGCAGGAAGAATCCCTTTCCCCAATATTTTATTTTAACCCTCAACCTTTGGCCAGAGGCAAAGTTACATTCACATGTAACCCTAGTACCCAAAATGTTACAATCCAGGTCAGGGTTATTACCTCATCTACTATTAGGAAATTTGAAGCTTTAGTGCAGTGATGGCGAACCTTTTAGACACTGAGTGCCCCCAAACACCCCCACCCGCCCCTGCCCCACTTGCTCCACCCTACCCCCGCTCTGCCCCCCGCCCCACCCACCCGCAGGGCCATCTGCAGACTCCATGGCCCACTGCAGCAGATCTCCTAGGTGGCCCTGCAGCGCCATGGCGGCCATGCCCTCTGCCCGTGCCCTATAGCATCATCTGTGTGCGATGGGGCATGAGGGTGGAGTCCTGTCCCTGCTGCCTGGCTGCCATGTCCTTGGCTGGTCTGCTCTGCGTGGGCTGTGCCCAGGGGCAACTCTCCTCTGGGGGGGGGCTGCTAGTGAGGAGGGGGCCACGGGGGAAGGCGGGGCCTGGGCGATGTCTCACGTGCCCATAGAGAGGGCTCTGCATGCCACCTCTGGCACTCATGCCATAGGTTCACCATCATTGCTTTAGTGATTACTTCCAGTAGGATTCAGTCTCTAAAAACTTCTCACAGGTCAGGATCCCATCCTGTTGTTCTAACTTCTTATTTCCTGAATACAGGTAGTCCTCAACGTACCACCATAACTGAGTCAGGAATTATGGTTGTAAATTGTTACGGTTGTAAATGGAGGCATCATGTTTGATTATTTTTTGTGGTGGTCATTAAGCAAATGTCATAGCTGTGAGGTGATTACTAAGGTCATTAAATGAATCCATTTTACAGGGAATTTTTTTTGGCCATAACCTAAAGTTAATGCCAAAAACAGGCAAAAACATCGAAAACTGCAAAAACATTGAAAACTGCAATCATGTGACCACCGGAAGCTACAAATGGCCATAAAGGTGTGCTGGTTGCCAAGGGCCAAACTGTGATCATGTGACTGTAGGGTGTGGTGTCTCTGTGTGTGTGTGTGTGTATCTCTGTGTACAGCCATCATAACTTTGAAACTGGGTTGTCTTTTGGGGCGGGCATCATAACTTCAAACAGTAATTAAACAAACAGTTGTAAATCAAGGGTGTAATGAAGAAAAGTCAATCACTCTTCTTGTCTAATTTCTGTGCTCCAATTTGCGAAGATTAGAGTACACGTATGAGTTTCTTTTCCTTAAAGCAACAAAATCCCAGGGAACCTGTCTCTTATCAACAATTAATTACTGCTGTTTACCTGCTCTCATTAATGATCCAGTTAATAATTAGCAACTGTGTTCAGTGATGGAACAGTTTGATAACAGGAATGTTCCTGGTTTTTTCCTCCCCCCCCCTTCATTTCTTTCATACTTTATGAGAACCAACCAAAGGCAAGCCCCTTGGGGAATTGTTAACAAGAGATAATTGATTTTTCCCCAGTGCTTAATTTTCCATTTGTCAAGAACATTGTTATCATGAAGGATCTGCTGTGTAAATGGAAACTTACAGTTTCTCATGACAGAATGTCATTTTCAGTGACAAATCCAGGTTTTGGAGAACCCCTGAGCAAGGACAAACAATGCAGGTTCCAAAATTGAAAATTGAATTCTTGCAGGGCTAATTATAGAATTTTGGGGAATTACAAAGTCATAATCTGTTGCCCTCTGTGGTGTGGCTCATCTTCTGATTTTGTTAGGAATTTCAAAAAAGCGCCCTCTTCTTTCTTTTATTCTTCAAGTTTTTGAGCTTTATCTTATGATTTTCAGCCCTGGAAAACTTTTACTTTTCTTTTCTTGGACATTTCCACCCTAATGCCAAACTATTTTTATAACCAAATGCATAAAAAAAAAACACTGAGACATTAGTTAAATTTATATTTATAAAATGGGCATACTTGGTCAGCCTTTTCTTCTTCAATCCATTTTTACTCCTGCAAGGAAAAAGACAAAAACATTCCATAGTTATGTCTCATTTCCAGTTCTGTGGGTATAATGTATTTCTAATGTATCCTGTAGAAAAACCTATCTATGTGATTGCACTGACTTGGTAGCACACAATCAATCATACACTCTTTCTAATAACAGAAATGCATCAATGTCGACAATTTAACATGCATGTGTGAACATTCTTGCTTCATATTCTGCAAGGATCTAACTTGCTTGTGGGTTTATCTGGGCAATGAAAACTTATCCATCTCCTTGCTCCCCATTGTCTGCTTCAGAACCAGCCCTACGTTTAAGTAGGATGAAATTCCTGATTTTCAGTCACAAAGCAGGGACATCTTTGCAGTCATATTTTTTACTTATTTTATTTATTGCTATATTTTACTGCCTGGTAGAAAGGCTTAAAAGCAAATGGGATCATTTAAAAAAAATAAATCACAACAGCTCTAAGGTAGACTCTTGTCTCTAGCAGGCCAAGAATATATTTGCTTAAAGCAGTGGTTCTCAATCTTTTTAATGCCGCGACCCCCAACCGGTCGTAAGTTGAGGACTACTCAACCAGTCATAGGTCGAGGACTACTCAGCTGGTGCAGCACCATTTGCAGAATGGGACTTTTGGCAGGCTCAGCAGGGCAGAGACAGCCTGGACAATTCCTATTGGCTTTTGAAAGCCAATAGAATTAGACTCTATTCAAGAGAGTCTATTCTATTGGCTTTCAAAAGCCAATAGAATAAAAGGGAGTAGCACAGCTAAGGAAAAGGGGGAAAAAATGGCGGACTGCATTGTTTGGCGATCCCCGTGAAATGGTCGTTCAACCCCAAATCGGGTCCCGACCCACAGGTTGAGAACCACTGGCTTAAAGCAAGGTAGATGTTTAGGTGATGGATATTATGTGCCCTATATCACAGTCATACTAAATCAAAGCACGTAAGCATGCAGTGACAAGATTCCGAAACTAGATGTGGTTTGCAACACTTTTTACCTTTTTGATTCCAAGGTATAAAATGCATTCACACTTTGGAAAATTCAGATTAATTAATCAAACCTATCAAGAAAGGAGACTTGTTTGTTCAGCCTTCCCCAACTTGGTGTTCTCCAGATTTACATCTGTCTGTGCTTACCAGCGAAAGATGGAACAGTAGTTGAGCACATCTGGAGAGCAACAAGTTGGGGATGCTGGTTTTGATTACTGACTGTTAAGTAGAAGAAGATAAATGACTTACCAAGGGTTAATATAAAATGCCAAGAGATAATCAGTCCAAAGGCAGGAGGGTAACAGAGTTAGGAAAGCAAAGACACTCCTACGCCTGTGAGTATTAATAGATAACATACATAGATTTGTTTTGTCAGAAAAAAGCAAGATTATTAATATGGCAAACATACATCAATACAGCAATTTGTCATTTTGTTAGACTTGGGCAACCAGAGACCTCAGAGGAAGTGACAGAGGACTTAGAGGCCTCCTAAATTTGGTTGGTGCTGAACACTAGAGCAGGCAAAGAAGTCTGCAATTACAGTGAAGGCTACGTGATGAAAAAGAGAAAGAAAAGGTGCAGCCATTTTTTAGGACTGCCTTTCATTTATTTATTAAACAAATTTGAATACCTGCCCATTCCACCAAAAGCATTTCTGTGCAACCCACAACTATCATCTGTGCCATTTTCTGCAGAAAGAGAAGCTTAGCTAATAACTAAGTGAAAGGCTGATATCCTTGAATGTCCCAGACACTCCTGTGTTATGACTTGAGCACTAAAAGAAGGAGGGTGGAGAGGAGAAGACATTTCATGAGCTCATAGATTAGATTGTCCAGACTTTCAAGCAGTGTGTGCGAGGTATTCTTGAATAAGATCTCATGAGATTTGGAGTGTATCATATGAAATCTCAATCAAGATCATGAATCTGAGGGAGATGAAATATAAATAAATAGTTATTCCCCCCTATTTTTATTTTATTTGATAGATAAGGGCACTACTTGAAGTCCAGTAGCTACTTTAATTCTCACATCTGTGATATTAGCAAACACTGAGATCTTTTAGGGGAGAGAGAGAGAAGGTGGGGGTGAGAAAGAATTAAGAATGGTAACAGCAATGCTTTAGCTTCTACAGTAGGTGTCTGAAATATCTTATGGAGGCCTATAACTGTTCCCTGGTCTAGATTAGGGTATCTCCCCCTCCGCCTCTCTGTTCTGTCTGTCTGTCTCTGTCTGTCTGTCTATCCATCTACTGTACATCATCTCTCTCTTATCTATCTATCTATCTATCTATCTATCTATCTATCTATCTATCTATCTATCTATCTATCTACCTACCTACCTACCTACCTACCTACCTGTTATATATTGATATCAAGAGTTAATGTGCTTTAATTTAAACATGTCTCCAACTGTTTTGGAGGGAAACTTAAGTTTAAATTTGAACGGGAAAACACCGTTTGATTTGATTGGTCACCGCCTAGAGGTGGCAAGTATAAATAGCCGTCATGCTATCGGTTAAGCCAGTTCTGTTTTCTGTTGCAATAAATCTCGTTGTATTAAACCAGTCTGGTTAATGCCTCTGAAAACCCACTACACAACACTATCTATCATCATAATCTCTCTCCTCTATCTATCCATCTATCATCTCTTTCTCCTATCTATCTATCTATCTATCTATCTATCTATCTATCATAATCTCTCTCCTCTATCTATCATCTGCCTGAACAGGAGGTTGGACTAGATGACCTCCAAGACCCTTCCAACTTTATTTGTATTGTTATTATCATCATCATCATCATCATCATCATCTATCTATCTATCTATCTATCTATCTATCTATCTATCTATCTATCATCTATCTATCATAAATGTAGAGCCAGTTGCTTAGCGCCTGACATGTGGCAACACAGGGATGGCTGGAGGGGAACACCAGAACTTCAAAACTGGTACCCCAGAAGATCCATTGCAATGTTGAATGGTCGTTAAGTGACCACTGGTAAGTCCAGGGGTGCCGGTATCCCTCCTCCCACTCTGACGCCCCTAATAACATGTCTCCTCTTTGACTTAGGATGTCATTTGAATCACATGCATGAAGCGTGCTGCATATTATAATTCTCGGGCTGTTGCGTTTTGAGTTTTTCACTTACTTTAGATTTTTCAAGTCTGAGTCTTTAATTGGGATTACTTTTGAACTTCTGACTTTGATGCAGATTAAAACCTGCTGTTTCAAAGCAACCCAAAGGAGGTTAATGATTTCTGTATACAGTTTTCTGCTCCTGGGGGCTCAAGGAGAAAGTGAAGTCTGATGAGTTAATTAGCTACATTAATATTTACAGGGAAAACTGGTAGCCAATATTCAGTTTGGAAGTTCATTACTGAAGGATCAGCTTCAATGCCATATCAAATCAATTTAGCCATTTGTGCCAGCTGACTGCATCCCATCAAACCCAGAGGATGACTTCCATTTTTATCCAGTCTTTAATCTAGCCATTAAATGGTCACCTCTGAGTATAGATGCAATGCCTGATGGAATTTTTCCTCCAATCAAAGTAACTTTTCCTTTTCTCCTTCTCTCTGACAAATGTACCTGCCTACAGGATGGGTCTGGCCTCTTTTGAAATCATGGCTGTTCAGTAAGACATAATGCAGAGCCAGGCTAAAGAAATGAGATGTTTGCCTACAGGCATTATATGAAAACTTTTTTTCTGTTGAAGCCATATTTCTACAGAGAGGCTGGGAGCAAGTGTCCATTACAGACAAAACCATAAAAAAACATGGGATGAGATTTAAAGCATGTGTGGTTTCTCTTTCAATACTTCTCTTTGGAAGGGCTTGCTTTACTTTCTAGGGGCCACAATGGATTGGGTTGTATGTAAAATGAATAGAGCAGGAATCTTCAAACTTGGCCACTTTAAGACTTGTGGACTTCAACTCCCAGAATTCCCCAGCCAAATTCTGGGAGTTGAAGTCCACAAGTCTTAAAATGGCCACGTTTGAGAACCCCTGAAATAGAGGCTATGACAATGTTTCTCAACCTTGACAATTTTAAGGCATGTGGACTTCAACTCCCAGAATTCCACAGCCAGCATTGCTGGCTGTGGAATTCTGGGAGTTGAAGTCCATATGCCTTAAAATTGTCAAGGTTGAGAAACACTGGCGCTATGTGAACAATCAGGATTTATTTTTTTGTTTCTTAAATTCTATTTGTTTTTCCAATGATGTTCCCATGTTAATTGTTATACAGTTTTCAGTATTTTCTAAAGTTCCTCCAATAGTTTTTGAGGCAACTGGGTATATTTATTTTATTAAATTTATTTGCTGCCCATCTCGCATAAAACATTAAAATCATCAGAGATAAATATTCCTAACACAATAGTTACAAGATAGGGAAGGAGGGAGCTGCATGTTTGTGTATGTGTGTGTGGGGGGGGGGGCAGGTGGGATTCTTAATTAATCAACCATCTCCTGTGTGATACCCCCCTCCTGGGGGCCCATGCCATCTGGCAGAGCCAGATCTTTAAGATTCTTGCAGAAAGTCAGAAAGATGGGAACTAATCTCACCTCAGGCAGTATGCTATTTCCCAAATATCTTATTAAAATATTCTTTGGAAGGACACTTTGAATATTGCAAAAAAAAAAAAAAATGTGTCGTCCATCCCTGTTTTAAGTAATATTTCCTGGCTGGGGGATCCTGGGAGTTGAAGTCCACAAATCTTAAAGTGACCCAGGTTGAGAAACATTGCACTTTTTCTAAACTGTGCGTGATCATCCTCTTAGATCAGCAAGCCTCACATTAAAAAGTCAGTGTGGGCCACAATACACACCTTCTTGGCTGTGGCCATATCTATGAAAAGTGCTGGCTCTGAAGATAAATTTGGCTTCGTTTCTCTTGGCTTTTGAAATTATTCTTTTTCTGACGGCTTTGAGGATTGAAACCTAATAGAGAAGCAGGATGCCCACATTTTATTGCTTTTCCTGATGTAGAGTTGAAGATTGCTATGGAGATGCTGATATCCCTATAACCAGAGGGAGGCTGTATAAAGATTAAATTAATAAACAAAAATAGGAATATATTTATATTAAAATGGGCATCCTACCCCCCCAAAAATTGTGATGCTACCCTACTGTAGCCCCAAGCTAGCTGGCTGAGCCAGGTCTTTAAGCTCTTATGGAAGATCAGGAGGGTTGAGCTTGACCTCACTCTGGGTGACAAGATGTTCCAGAAAAAGCAGGTGCAACAACAGAGAAGGCCCTTCTCCTGGACCTCATCAGCCAGAATACCCTGGCTGATAGGGCCTGCAGCATGCTTCCTCTGCCAGTAACAAGCTAGTACTATTTTTATTATAAGGCAGTGGTGGCAAACCTATGGCACGCGTGCCAGAGGCGGCACTTGGAGCCCTCTCTGTGGGCATGCGTGCCATCACCCCAGTCCCGCTTCCCTCACGGCCTTTACCAGTAGCCCCCCTGGAGGAGAGTCACCCCTGAGCGCGGCCCACACAGAGCAGCGCAGCCAAGGATATGGCAGCTGGGCAGCAGGGACAAGACTCTGCCCTCGCGCTTTATAGCATGCAGATGATGCTGCAGGTGTGGGCGAAGGGCGTGGCTGCCATGGGGCTTCAGGGCTGCCTGGGCAATCTGTTGCGGCGATCCATGGAGGCGATGTGTGGCCCTGTGGGTGGGCGGGGCAGAGCAGGCAGGGCAGGAGGCAGAACGGGGGCGGTTTTTGGGCACTTGGTCTCTAAAAGGTTCACCATCACTATTATAAGGTAACAGACTCTTATAAGTCTGAATGTGCCTCCCCCACCTCCCCTTTTCTTCAAGAGAATTAGAGATACTTTCTCAAATTACATTTCTGCCCCAGGCTCAGATATTTTTTATCTGATCACTGTCTTGATTGCATCTCTTCCTCCTGTTCTCAAGGTTATTCCTTCTGCCCATTAAAGCTACATTTCTCTAACTTGGTCCTGAAAGCATAAAAGAACTGTTTAAACCTGGCTGCTGTGAAGGATAGACTCCTCAGATTTAATTAGCAACTTATATGTATTTGTCAAGATCCTGTCCAGAAAATAATGGAAAATGAGATTTTGTGAAAGTTTGAAAGCTCAACGATGCCCTCTTGAGGCTTAAAAATACAACTCAAATTTTCTTCTTGATAAAAAATTAAAAGTGCTGGCATGAGTAGAAGCAAGATGGATAAAGTCTGTTGTAAATTGTCACTGATATCCTTTTTTCTTAGTTAAGGTAACTCTGCATTTGCTATGCTTTGTGAGAATCTAAGCTGCAGGAAACACAGTTGAAAAAGAGTGATTTGCCCCAAATGACCTTGAGCTTGCATAGCTGAAGACAGTTTTGAGGCTCTTCCCTCTCCTAATTGGTGCTCTTGTAAAAGAAAACAGGGAAATTTCTCCTTAACTCTAGCTTGGTTCTCACCTTGATCAGCTTCCATCCGTTGCTTCTTGTCCTGTGCCTTCAGGTGCTTTGGGGTCAACCTATTCTCCAAAGTGCCTGATGGCAGGACAGGAAGCAATGGATGGAAACTAATCAAGGAGAGAAGCAACCTAGAACTAAGGAGAAACTTCCTTACAGTTAGAACAATTAACCAGTGGAACAACCTGCCTTCAGAAGCAGTGAATGCTCCAACATTGGAAGTTTTTAAGAAGAGACTGGACAGCCATTTGTCTGAAATGGTGTAGAGTTTCCTTCCTGGGGTTGGACTAGAAGACCTCCAAGGTCCCTTCCAACTCTGTTATTCTGTCTGCCCCAAATGTCATTTTGGAACACTGAAGAGCATGCCAGGAGCTGCACTTCCCCCACTCTTCCCTACTCCACAAATATGATTGGACAGTTGGACTAGAAGACCTCCAAGATCTTTTCCAACCACAAGCTGATTTAATTTAAAGCTCACTTGATAGACTACAGTTAAATATAATAACTGGTAACTTCCCAGGTGTTTAGAAATATCCTCCGTCATCTTAAAGACTGTAATTGGGTGCAACTTCTGGAAGAGCTATAAGGGCTGTAGCCAAGGTTTTCAGGAATTGCATTGAGCCCTTAACTGCCACATTCACTTAATGAGCACTGCAAAATAAGGTTGTAAGTCATGACAATCATAAAGGGGGTCATCACACTGGCTTTGAAATTTCTCATTTTTAATTGAAACTAAAAGATATTAAATAATTTAATTGGAGGAGTTAAGTAAGGGGCTCTGTCACTTTGCGCTCTCTCTCTCTCTCTCTCTCTCTCCCTCCCTCCCTCCCTCCCTCCCTCCCTCCACCTCCAGAATCTGTGTCATAGCCCTGAGAAAATAAAGGGGGTTCAGTGTATTGTATTTCACCTTCTTGGAAAAAGGATGAAAACCACACAAAGACAAAGAAAAAAGTGCACGAACAAAACACATTAAAAATGAAAGCCTACTGGTACATTTGAATGTAATATTACTACAATACTCAACTTTGATATTCTACTTTTTACATTGCACTAGGAACACCAGGACGAGGAAAAGGCATTTTCTATCAGACAGCACAGGGGGTCTTCCTGCAGTCTTTTTTGACCTTTAAAAGCCATTTTTCACTTTCGTGGTACCCACTTTTAGAAGCACCCATAAATAAGGGGATTAGTTTTACACATACTCCCGTAGACAAAAGAGATTCTCACTTCTTTGAGGTCTGAATCTTCTGTCCGTAAAGCCTAACTGTTTTAAACATCATAATGCCATTTTAATTGGGAAACCATACGCTCCTTTAACAGCAAGTTTGGATTAGATGATAACCTGGTCCCTGCATTCTGTTGGACTGCCAAAACTTTTATGGGAAATTAGAGTGGAACAGACTATTTCTCAAGTAAAGTTTAATTCTGTAACTTGAAATGTTCTTACCGCATTATGTCAGGAGAAATGATACTCTACTATATTAAAAACAATTTTTTTTAAAAAAAATCACTGGTATCTAATGGCTAGACCAGTGGTTCTCAACCTTTCTAATGCCGCGACCCCATAATACAGTTCCCCATGTTGTGGTGACCCCCAACCACTTATACATCACCGGGTGCCAGGGTCGTGGCCAAAGAAAAGGGGAAAAAATGGCAGACAGCCTTGTTTGGCGACCCCCGTGAAATGGTCGTTCGACCCCAAATGGGGTCCCGACCCACAGGTTGAGAACCACTGGGCTAGACTTTCAATATTAACATCCACCTTAAAGAAGTCAATATAACAATTATACATTGCAAGGAAAAAAACCTATATTGTAAATCTTCTGATATATACCTACCAGTTGTACGGAAGTTTCCCATCTCTTTCCAATGAAGCAAAATTCACAAATGTTCCTGCTCCACATTCCCTAGTTTGGAAGATTCAGAATTATTATTGATGGATTTATATATATATAAAATCACATTCTTGGCAAGAGTCTATCAATTTAAATTTAAACAAGATATACTAGACAACTTTCCTATTTGTTATAAAGGGAAGACTGAGGATGCTTAAAACCTGCAGTTCTTTAAATGTTGTTGGTCTCCAAGAGCAGTTATGGTTGCAAATTACATGGAATGCAAATTAGGATGGGATTAGGGTCCTGAAATAAATGACAGCTGACAGCTGCCTCACCTCTGCTGATGATCAACACCTTGATTTAGAAAACAGTTTTGCTGTAAGCTAGAAAGTTTCCCAGAAGCAACACTATTGTACAAATGAGCTGTTTAATGGGTTTTACTGAAAACTGTGAGGATAGTGATAAAAGATTGGCGTGGAGCTTAGGAACCTTAGCAACTAAAGATACAGACAGATGTGAAACTAGTGCTGAACTTGATGTTATAACAGAAGGGCTAGGTGGGAACTATAAAATAATCAAGCTCAAAGTGTAAAACCAATTTGCTGCAGTATTGCCTGCAAGAGAGATACAGTTTCTATATATTTTTTCACAGACTGGCAATGGGGGACACGCTGCCTAGCTCCTGCACATAGACAGATGAAGTTTTTTCTCACTTGCATGCCCTGGTTCCTAACAGGCCATGAACCAGTTCCAATTTGCAGCCCAGGAGTTGGGAATGCCTGCTATATACAGTGCAACTGTGTGTATATAATATGGTATCTGGCTGATTGGAGAATAGCTCTTTGTAAGAATTTACTGGTCAGCTGAAGTCTGGGAATTTACTGGAGCAACATGTAAATCAGTTACAATTATAGTGTTAAATATGATTGCTAAAAGTAAGCTCCATTGAACATAATGTTGGACTTTGAACTAAACTAGACAGATTTTGATTCGGGACTAATCCAACAATCCATTAATTTAAAGACTACTTTCTGATGTTGCTAGATATCTGTGGAATCAGAGAGCTTTGATTTATACTGGCGAGAGGGTGGTCTTAATCTTCAGATAAAGAATGGGAATGGAAGGGGTAGGGACCTTAAAGCAAGAAGAACCATCATGCTAGAAGAGATCTGCCTCAAACTGATGTCCTCCAAATATGTTGGACTTCAACTTCCGCCATTTTTATTAATGCTGAATGAGAATTCTGAAAGTTAAAGTATCAAGTCTGAAGGAGACCCAATTGGAGAAGGCTAGTCCAATTTCTGATTTAATGCAGGGCCTGCAGTCTAATGGTGCACAGCAATTCTAAGGTGGCAATCCTGCTTCTATTTAAATTCCTCTCTTGCTTATTTGGGCAATTCATCTACACATATAAAAAGAGTGCAGACAAGAGCAGCAAGGAGTATAATATAATAATAAGGATAATAAGGGGTCTGGAGGCTAAACTATATGATGAATGGTTATAGAAACTAGGTATGTCTAATGAAGAGAAAGACTAGGGGGAACATAATAGCAGTCTTCTAAAATGTGAGGGGCTGTCACACAGAGAAGAAGAGGTTAATCTATTCTCCAAAGCACTTGAGGGCAGGACAAGAAGTAGCAGATGGGAGAGCATTAAAGAGAGAATCAACCTAGAATTAAGGAGAAATTCCCTGACAGTGAGAACAATTAATCAGTGGAATGGCTTGCCTTTGAAAGTTGTGGGTGTTTCATCACTAGAGATTTTCAAGAAGAGTCTGGACTGGATTTGTCCAGAATGGTACAGGGTCTCCTGCTTGAACAGGGGATTGGACTAGAACAGGGGTAGGCAACCTTGGCTCTTTTATGACTCGTGGACTTCAACTCCCAGAATTCCTGAGCCAGCCATGCTGAGGGGAAAGGGAGAGGTTTCCAAGCTGAGCCAGGCTGGCTCAGGAATTCTGGGAGTTGAAGTCCACGAGTCATAAAAGAGCCAAGGTTATCTATCCCTGTCCTATACCATATATACCCTAGACCAGGGGTAGGCCACCTTGGCTCTTTTATGACTCGTGGACTTCAACTCCCAGAATTCCTGAGCCAGCATGGCTCAGCTTGGAAACCTCTCCCTTTCCCCTCAGCATGGCTGGCTCAGGAATTCTGGGAGTTGAAGTCCACGAGTCATAAAAGAGCCAAGGTTGCCTACCCCTGGACTAGAAGATTTCCAAGGTCCCTGTCAACTTTGTTATTCTATATTCTATATATAAATGAGTTGATCTTCATCACATACTTCTGCAGTGAATCTGCTGGAAACGTTAAAGCCATCAAAAATCCATGTATGTCCTTATGTTAAATCCTGTTTACAGTTCTACAAAGGAATTATTGAGTCTGTCATTTGCACCTCTGTAACTGTCTGGTTTGGAACTGCAGCCAAACAAGGCAGACACAGACTTCAACGGATAGTTACAACTGCAGAAAAAAACAATTTCTACCAGCTTTCAGGACCTGTATATTGCACGAGCAAGAAAGAAGGCTGTTGTGCAATGCCCTATAAAACCCTCACATCCTGGACATAAACTGTTTCAACTTCTTCCCTCAAGACGATGCTATAGGGCATTGCACAACAGAATGACTAGACACACAAGGAGGTTCCCCCCCCATGCCGTCACTCTTTTTAACAACTAATTCCTACCACTTTGTCAAACTACTTAGTGAAGCTATATTACTATTATTCCTCTCATCTTTCCTATTATCTATCCTTATCTTCTTATAACTTTGTTGCTTGTATCTTACAATTTATATTGTTTTATTTAGTATCCTAGTATGATTTATGTTGTTTGCTTAGCTAGTATCCTAGAACTATCACTATGAATAATGATGAAGTGTTGTATTTTACGAATTATGAATATATTTTCATGTTGTTTATGATCATGATTATCACTATTACCTGTATGTACAGTGAGAGCTTATGCACCGAAGACAAATTCCCTGTGTGCCCAGCCACACTTGGCCAACAGAGAATTCTAATAAAGAATTCTAAATGTGGAACAATTCATACTGCTCCCCTGCTACATACAGTACATATAATTGAACTTTTACCTTTTGAGAAGACCTTGGTTCTGTATTAGAAAGTAAGTTGTCCTACCTGGCCATTTGTAGATGTTTTCTCCGAAGAACGACCAGTGTTACAAGCAAGAGCCCTATCAGAAGAATGCTCAGAATGGCGAGAATAGAAATGACCACCACATTAGGGTTCATCTCCACAACTGCAAATAGGAACACAGGATCCGGGTTAATGAAAGCAATTGATACTGACATTCCCATAAAGTGACATGATAAAATAAAAAGAGGTAAAGCATTGCCTTCTGACAGTGGCTTTTTATTTCTAGAGCAGGGGTATCAACCTCAATTTCACTGAGGGCCGCATCAGGGCTGCATCAGCATTGCGGTTGCCCTTGGGGGGCCGGGTGGGTGTGGCCAGAGTGAGTGCAGTCTATTGGGTAGGTGTGGATGGAGTGGATGTAGCCTACTGGATGGGCATGGCCAGTTCTACAACATTCGCGTGAAGGGTGCCTGTGGGGGCCTGGGCAGGAATGGGACAGATCTGAGGGTCTCTGGCAGAAAGGGGTGGGACCGGAGCAAGTGCCAAGGCATGGTCCACCGGGGCAAGTGCCAAGATGGCCACCACAAAATTGTACATTGGCTCCCGGCTGGCCTGGGCCAGGGCCAAGGCAACGGGGGCCATTCCCTCACTGTTTCCAGGATAGCTTCGCAGGCCACATGAAACCACTTCATGGGCTGCATCCGACCCCTGGGCCTTGTGTTTGACATGTCTGTTCTAGAGGGGTTTTTTTTCTAATATTCTCAGAACATATCTTTCTGACTTTTTAGATTTCTTCAATGAACAAATTGTGGGAATTAAGCAGTAACCCATACATGCTTACTTTGGTTTCCTTCATTGGGAAGGACTTACTCCCTGGTAAGTGGATAGAAAACTGCAGCCTAAAACTGACATTCTGGTATGGCCAATGTCAGCCAGAAAACAAGTCTTTGCATACAAATAAAAGGGTGAGGCAGATCTGCTTTCCAAGGAGATTAAAAGTCTAAGGACAACATCTACATCAGGGGTAGTCAGCCTTGGCTCTTTTATGACTCGTGGACTTCAACTCCCAGAATGCCTGAGCCAGCTGTGCTGGCTCAGGAATTCTGGGAGTTGAAGTCCACGAGTCATAAAAGAGCCAAGGCTGACTACCCCTGATCTACATGATATCATATTGGCAGAGTTCATCCATTTCACTCAGTCTTAAACCCTGATTTGCAAACTACGACAGCTGACATTGCACAAGTCAAAGATAAACAACCCACATTATATACGAACCCCAACACAGAGTAAAAACATACAGGCAATTCTCATTATTTTGAGTAGTTCTCTAAAAATGCCATGAATACAGAATTAATAATGCTGAAACCTTAGCTGGGGACATGCCCATAGGGCAATCCCAGTGTTTTGCTGTTCCACATGTCCACCAATAAGCACGACAGCAACACAAGTATTGATTTTGGACTTACAAATAGATTTTAATGAATGAGCAAATTTGCAAATGCAGAACTGACAGATAACGAGGACTGCCTGTAAATAAAGGACGGTTATATAATCCCCATTTCTGGTATATTTAAAATAACACCAGTGGTTTTTTGGGTGATTATGTATTCACTCTAACCAGTCTGTTCAAACTAGAAATGGGAAGGGAACACATTAAATCTGATTTTGGAGAAATGCTTAACCGGAGAATTTGAAGAACTTGGCTCACCCATAGTGGAAACTGAAATATAGGTGGGGACACTGGGGCTGTTATGACTGAAACTTGTAACGCTGCAGTTGTAGGAAGTGGCAGGCCGAAGGCTGGAGACTGTCACGACATGAGAAGAAATGGTAACTGGTTCCTGTTTCATGTTGGGAAGGAAAAAAGTATATGGTTAGGATTCTTTTTTTTTTTGCCTACCTCTGATGTTACGCAGGATCTGAAATCAAAGGGGATTTAGGCCCTGCGCATTAACTGAGTTTTGAGCTCATTCTTATATTTTTTTTTTTGCTACAATTAAGAGGTTAAGTGGTACATCATGGAATGTTGACCCAGCCCACTGTTTATTTAGTTACCACTTCTCTAAATATGAGGATATTGCAAGAAGTATGGATGAAACTGTTTGCAACATAGGTCCACAATAAAGCAATTCAATGGCAGCTTCACTGTATTTCTGTTGTGGCCTGTGCCAGCAATAAACCACATCCTGGTTTATGCAACAGTCTCATGTATTGGTCTGTATGCCTTTCAGGATGCAACGTGCGTCAAAGACATGAGAGTTCAGGTGATTCAATAATGAGTCCAAGGAGTGGACTGTCATTTTCTTCCTAGTGACCTTTAGCATGCTTTGTTTACTCAGACAACACCTTTTCTACAATTATATCTTCCTTTTTTAAAGCAAGTTCTAGAAAGTATTATAGCCCTATATTTTATCCTTAGTTGAAGGTAGCATTTGGCTATTTAAATCTCTGGCATCCTTGTTTTGGGAATCTCTTCTTCCCAATATGTCTCCTATATAAGATTGCAGGTAGTGATGAGTGACATAGTACAAAAAAGAAAGATCTATTAGCTCATTTGTGTATGCTAGCAGACAATAGTTCTCCAGTTGCTCAGCCAGAGACCCCAATCTTATCTAAAAGGTAGTAAACTTGTGCATATGTTCTCTCTCCCATTGCTTTCAGTTGAAGTGAGTTAGATCAATTCACCCCCTTGAGTGAGTGGGCTTAATTTTCAGACACAGACATCATTACATAGTACCTAAGATAGCTAATGGGAATAATGGATTGGCTCAGAGTTAGTAATATTTAGAGCAGGGGGCCCCAACTCCCAGGCCACGACCCACTAGTGGGCCACAACCTGTGTTCTATTCCAGCCTATTGTCGTCCTTGTTAACTTCACAAGGACAAAACCCCTGCTACTACAATAGGCTGGAGACTTGCAAACAAAAACAAAACCCCCTTTTAATTCTGTTGACAAACCTGTCAAATACAGCAAACTCCAGTCCAAAAGAACACGATGAAAAGCAGACACGAAGTTACAAGAGAAGTCACAAACCAAGATTCCAAGATGCAGTTTTCAAATGGTTGCCTTCAGCAACCAGCACCACCCACACCTCCTCCCTTTAATTGGCAGTCCTAAGGCGGTGCCTCCCCTTGCCGTTTCTTCTTACTCTGGAGGTGCTTCATTGACCTCTGTTGCCTTACTCTGGCTAATTGACGCCGCCTGCGTGCATCAATTAGCAAGTCCATCTGTTGTGATTCTTCCAAGTCTGATTCATGCTCCTCACCCAGCTGAGCTTCATCAGAAACATGACTGGAGGGCCCAGGCTCTGCATCCAACTGTGAGTCCTGTACCTCAGAGCCTCCCTCTGACTCTGATGGCCCTTCAAATGCCTCCTCCACCTCCTCCTCAGATTCCTCTGACTCAGCTGTTGGGAGCACAGGCTGGCACGGAATCATAACAACCTGTTTGGAACCAGGCTTCATGAGGGGTGGGCACTTGCACTGACACGCAAAGCTCCATTTGTGCAAGTGGCGGGCATGTATGTTTTCTACTTGCACAAATGGAACTGAACACACACACACACCTACCACTTGCATAGAACCATCCCCTCCCATGCTGGGCTGCCAAGTTGGAAAGCTTGGGGACCACCAATCTAGAGGAAACTGTTTGAGTCAGCAAAGACTTGAAAGCCCTCTGATTTCAAGGGTTCCATCCTTGGTATAAATTTATTCTGGCCATCCACTGTGGATAGTAAGATATTGGTATTAGTGGTCTTTGATTCCAATCAAATAGATATTTTTAGATTTCCAAGCTGGAGATTTAGTGTGACATTAATTAAAATCTCTGAAATAGAATAAGAGGTCAATTAAAAAAAAAACCTACCCCAAATACAACTTCAGGGGAACAAAAGCAATGTTTGTTCTGTTCAGAACAAAAGAGTGTTCTGCTGAGAACACTCGGATGTTAAGAATGTTGCAAGAAATACTAAGATAGTGAAAATGTTAACTACAAAAGTACTAACAAGGGCAATTATGAAATAGAACTGGGAATTTAAAGCCTTTTAGACAGCAGCTAAAGGAAGACAACAGCTTCAGACAGAGTTCTTTCAACCCTTCTGAAGTCTTGAAATTCAACATTTGCGATGGTCTTGTATACTGCAATGGGGAAGATATCTGAATAATTTACTCTCAGGAATTGCTCTCCAGGATTCAACCGAATGTGGGAAAGGAGCCCACTTGAATCTAACTATCTAGTTCTTGGTTGAATGGAAGCCTCAATGTTTTGAAGACTGGAATGGTGGCTAGCTGGCATAGCTCCATTCCTATCCTATATGTGGTGGTATCCAGCAGAAGCTCCATTCCTTTACAACAGTCATGCAACAAGACACATGTAGGAAAGGATAGGGCTTATGTCATTATGCCAGAGTTAGTTGCTGTCTCCGTATATGCTAAGTAACAACTAGAAATGGCTCAGGAGTAGTACGTTTCTTTTAAATTAAATCTATAAATCAACAAAGCCAGCAACACCACTGGCTCAAGCTGTGTCTTTTCACTTAAAAGTTTATCTTGCACCGATTCTTGCAAAAAGAGGCTAGAATTCAAATCAGAGCCACACAGCTTAAATATCTCAGGAACAATCCAAAATTGATAAAGGATAAAAACACATACCTGAATCTTTGTCTCATGATCTGAGCCAATCTGCTGGCAAAAAACCTCAAAGAAATCAGCTATTCCTTCTTCTACCCATAAGAGAGTCACAGAGGTCTGGGTTTTATTCACCGCAAAGAGTGATCTTGGAGGAGCTGGGTCTAGAAACGAGATAAGAGTCGCTTTAACTGCGCCTTGTAGGTCATTGGGATCCAACATAAAGAAATGAAAAGTCACAGGTGATCCAAGATCCCGGTCTCTACAGACCTACGGATAAGTTTTCGGTCTTCTCTAAGTTTCTTGGCAATAAAATGGAACTACAAAGCGGGAAGGCAGTCTGTTGCAGCATTCTCTCTTCTTCTCTTTTCAACACATACTTCACTTCCTTTTTCAATGAACTCTTAACTGTAGGATGAGTATGTATGTGTTTGCACAAACTTTCTTGCTGAAAATGTTTTTGCCCCATAAACAGCAATGATTAAACCTGGAGTGTTGAATAACCTCACAATTAATGATTCGTCTGGTTTGCTTCTCAAATGACTATAAATCTTGGATGTTAAAAATTTAAAGTTCATTTAAAAAAAACAACAACAAAGTAACTCAAGTCAAAACAAAGCGCATTCAAATATGAAAGCTCATTTCCCTCTAGGTTTTGTCCTGCTAACTGAAGATCACTTGTTTTCTCATCTTTGATCTATCTTTGCATTTGTATGGGAATTCTGACAATTCATCAAAGAGAAAGTGTAACGTGCCAATCATTTGTAACTAATTTATCTTATAACAAGGTGGGCAATCAGCCCTGAACAGGGTCATCCATGAGGGGGGGAGAGTATATCAAAAAGTAGAAAACATCTGCAACCATATGATTGAAACTAAAATTTGGTGGCAAATTCCCAGGGTTCTGAGAATTACATGCAGACTGTAAGTAGTAGGTTGCTCAGTCAGGTCTTCGTACAGGGAGTCCTTGATTTACAACAGTTCATTTATTGACTGTTTGAAGTTACAAGGACACTGGCAAAAGTGACTTATGACTGTTGTTCACATTTATGACTGTTGCAGCATCCCCATGGTCACCTGTGATCAACATTCAGACATTTGGCAACTGACTCATATTTATGATGGTTGCATTGTCCCTGGTTCATGTGATTCCCTTTTGCGACCTTCTGACAATCAAAGTCAGTGGGGAAGCCAGCTTCACTTAACAACCATGTTCCTAACTTAGCAACTGCAGTGATTTAAGGAACAACTATGGCAAGAAAGGTTATAAAATGGGGCAAAGTTCACTTAACAACTATCTTGATTAGCAACAGAAATTTTGGGCTCAATTGTTGTCCTAAGTCAGTGGTAGCAAACCTATGGCACGGGTGCCAGAAGTGGCACTAGGAGCCCTCTCTGTGGGCACACGTGCTGTTGCCCCAGCTTTGCCTCCCCGAGCGTGGCCCACATGGAGCAGCGCAGCCAAGGACATGGCAGCCAGGCAGCGGGGACAAGACTCTGCCCTCATGTCCCGTCACATGCAGTTGATGCTGCAGGGTATGGGCAGAGGGCGTGGCTGCCATGGTGCTCTTGGCTGCCTGGGCAATCTGCGGCGGGCCCTGGAAGCAGTGAGTAGCGTTGCGGGCAGGCGGAGTGGGGACGGGGCAGAGGGTGGAGCGGGGGCAAGCCCAGTTTTTGGGCACTCGGTCTCTAAAAGGTTTGCCATCCCTGTCCTAAGTCAAGGACTACCTGTATGTGCCCAGTCACCAATGACTGTATGAGTTCTCTCTACTCTTTCCAGTTAATGTTGGATCCATATAATCAGTTCAGCATTTGTCATTACATCAGAAGTCAAAACATCCCCCCAAAGACTGAATGAGGCTTTGTGGGGGTTCAGTGATGGCTTCCCAACCATTTCATAACCTAAGACAGGGGTCTTCAAAGTTGCCTCTTTTATGACTTGTGGACTTCAATTCAATTGCGTGCCTGGCTGAGGAATTCTGGGAGTTGAAGTTCACAAGTCATAAAAGGGACAAGTTTGAAGACCCCTGACCTAAGGGAGTTTTGCTCTCACTTCAGGCAGAGATATGACTGTCCTTTTAAAAAGAAAAGGTGGTTTTTTTCCCCTGATTGCTGAGAAAATATGTCATGGGAATCTTGCAACATTAGTGCATAATGTTGTTTACAAGGCCATTCTTAAGGAGAAAAATAATGGCTCTCCCCATTCCAAATTTCAAAGGTATGGAGGACAGGAAAATCATGGTAGGTAATAATATAAAGCTCTTGAGAAAATCCTTATTTTTTTAACACAGGAATGGGCAACATGTGGGTTGAATAGATCTTGTTGAGGGCTTAAAATACCTCCCCATCTCACAATGCTGCAAGCTCATGTATTTATTATGTGCTATATTTACTTACTATATTTTTAAACAACTGTATTTCTCAAGATCTTACTGCTGCTGAGTGTTGCTGGAGTATGCTTTTTTTTTTAAAAAAAAAAAATAATAAAGCATCAAAACAGCAACTCCTCCATCACTGGATCACTATCAAATGTGTGTAAAGTCCTGCGATGATGTCTCATCATCACTGTCAAGATGAATGATGGCCAAGATCAGGGGTCTTCAAACTGAGGAATTCTGGAAGTTGAAGTCCACAAGTCACAAAAGGGCCAAGTTTGAAGACCCCCTGGCCAAGATGAATGAATACAAATAAAATATGGTCCCAGCCAAAAGTAATCCCTGCCTTCAATAGGCAATTCTCTTCCTGACAATTTTTGGAAGGACAGAAAAAAGAGAAAACTTATGAAGACATTTTTAATATTAACAAATATATTTCCATTTTACTTCAGTTTATCCAGAACAATTTTTAAAAACACATAGGGTTTCTTTCCTTTTTGCTTCTTTTCCAAAGGTAAATTTGCTTCTTTAGTCAGCAGATGTTTCATTTTACCACTTAAAAAAAAAAATCTGTTTTCTTTGGCTGTGAAATTTCTGCTCTGGAGCTTTCAGTCTGGTTCTTCTGATTTTTCAAATGTTTCCTGTCTGTTTATTTCTGATTTACACATGCGTTGTCCTTATAACATGAGAATCCTTGCTGGTGAGTTATGTTTATTCCCATTTACTATTAAAGCTACAACATGTGAATTTGCTGTATTTTAATAGACTTGTAACCCCTTCCATTTCCGTCATTAGTGCCACATCAGCAAAACACAGCTGTTTCCTCATTTATAATGTCTGTCTCTGCTACTTAGTTCATGTCATTAATTATATTCTTATAAATATACCGATAGATCTCATCATTTTCAGAAGTTATGCTTCACTATTTAACCATGAGTAATGAAACTTAAGAGAACGAGCTTGTTGGAATGAAAGTTTAGGATTTACAGCCATTGAAAATGACCAGAGAAATAGCCAAAAATAATGAAAAGTATACTAAAAAAAGCTAACAAAAGTGGTGAATATTGTTTCTTGGCCACCCCTTGTATTGTATTATTTATTTACTAATTTATTTAATTTATGTCCCGTCTTTATTATCTTCATAAACAACTCAAGACAGCAAATATATCTATTGCTCCAATACTGGAAGTTTTTAACAAGAGATTGGACAACCATTTGTCTGAAATGGTATAGGGTTTCCTGCCTGAGCAGCCCCTTCCAACTTGGTTATTCTGTTCTGTTCTGTTCTGTCGTGTCCTGTCCTGTCCTGTCCCTTCTTGTTCCTCCTATTTTCCCTGCAACAATAACCCAGTGAAATGAGTTGGGCTGAGAGAGAGTGACCGGTTCAAAGTCATCCAGCTTTCTGCTCTGTCTCTGTGTTTTATTCTAAATAAAGAGTAATTAATACATATTCAAACTGTATTCTGTAATTCTGTGCTACTACAAAATGGCACAAAATTGACCAAAGATGGTGACTATGGATAGAACTAAATTCAAGTACATATTTATTATTCACAAGTATATGAATCTGCAAAATACAAAATTCATAAATATTACAAGGGATAATCACACACTTTTTACAAACTCTGCCTTCAAATCTGCCTCTTTTGTTTATTTCAGTCACTCCACAATTTCCTGAATTCTAACTGATTATGCATCATTCTTCTATTTGCATAAAAACATCTTTCCTTTTTTAAACATAGAAAACGTAGTGATGTCTTCCTTATTTTTCACTGTTGCCTAAAGCTAAATTGATTCTCACTAGTTTATTCATATTCTTTTTTCTCATCCTTCTTTTAAGATGCGATTCGAACAGGTTTACCAGGGAGTAAATACATTTAAACTCATTTGCTCATAAAGAAATTCTAGGTGTATGTTTTTTTTAAAAAAATAATACTTCTGAGTGGTAGTTTGATGTTGGAATAAATGACCAAAGGAGATAGTCACCCCCTTTATTGACTGTATTCAAGACAAGACTAGATGGGCATGGGTTGGAAATATTCAATTCCTGTCTGTGGTGGGGCAAATGTTTTTCTTGTACTAATTTTCTTCCCTCCATTTACAGTAGTCCTCGATTTACCACCAGAATTTTGGTCGTAAGTCAAGGTCATATGTTGAGTCACCATGTGGCCAGAACCAATTTTACAATCATTTTTACCACATTCATAAGTTGAGTCACCATGGTCATAAGTCCACTTTCTTCAAAGGTGTTTTTTTTTCCAGAAACTAACCCAAAAAAGTCGCAAATCATGATCACACGACCACAGAACACTACAACTGGTCATAAGTATGAACCAGTGGGGTATATGTGTGTGTAATGTTTTGCAATGACTGGGAGTGCTTCCAGGCATAAAACACTCTTTCCAAGGCAATTGTTAATTCAAACCATCTTTAAGGAAACGGTTGGAAACTGAGGACTACCTGTATCATAGAATGCAAGCCAATAAACTGGCATATGATCCAGTGTTGCCCTGGCCATTTTAATATCAAATGAAAATTCTTATTCCCTCTACTGTTATTATAAAGTATATAGAACAAATTCAATAATTTGTGTACACTCAAATTTGCACATACGTATGGCTAAAGAGAAACACACAATCTGTTAGGCATTCAACTGTATCATCTCATCAGTCAAGGTCAGTTTTTCCTCTAACCAAAATGCATCCCTTGAGTTCAGAGGACCATTTTCATTCTGTGGCATCCTTGCCTTTAAAACAGAACAAAACCACAGATATAGCCCCAGACTGAAGGATGGCTCAGCTAAAGCCTTACCGACTTTCACAAGCTGAAGTGCAGATCTGTTGCTGCCCCGCTCAGTGCAAGCAGTTACGGAGAGGTTATAGATGTCCCCTGCAGGAAGGCTGAGCATTGTAGTCATAACATTCCGGGTCACCTGAAAAAGAGAAAGAATTAAACACTCCTGGCAGGGAAGATCTCCTTTGAACCATGACCAGGGATTAGTGGACTAATTGGACTTTTGTCTCGGCCTCTTTAGAGGATCTGGAATCACTCTTCAGAGAAGGAGAATTTGCCAGCTGTCAAGAAGGCTAATATTGCAAATCAAGCCAAATGAGCTGGGAATGGCTTAGGGCAGGGATAAATCTCCCCTGAGTCTCCAGGGTAGAATGCAGCCGTAAAGTGCTTTGGACATAGTCTCCATCCTTTCCAAAGCTGCTACTGAATTATAATTTTTAATGCAACAGAAGAGGAAGATTATTAAATGCTTAGGGAGTAATTGTATTAATTGCACTAAATTAATTTCAATCTTATTTTAATTGTACTTAAATCATTAATGCCGCACAATGAGGGAGTGTCCATATAAATTGATTAAGTAGATACATTTTAAGATTTATCATGATTTCCTCAAACTTTTGGAGTATAGCTCGCACTAAGGATTGGGGAATTAATGCATCCGTAAATAGAGGATTAGACTAGAAACCTATGGGAGACCACGTCCATCTCTGTGCACTTGAAGAATTAAGAAAACCTATGCTTGATCAGACCTCAAACCCAAGTATTCCATAGAGGTAGTCCTCAATTTATGACCACAATTCAGCCCAAAATTTCTGTTGTGAAGTGAGACTTTTGTTAAGTGAATTATGTCCATTTTGCGACCTCTCTTGCCACAGTTGTTAAGTTGGTAACACGGTTATTGACTCTGCAGTTGTTAAGTTGGTAACACGGTTGTTGACTCTGGCTTCTCCATTGACTTTGCCTGTCAGGTCACAAAAGATGATCACATGACCCCGGTACACTGGAACCGTCACAAATATGAGTCAGTTGCCAAGCATCTGAATTTGTGACTATGGGGATGCTGCAGCAGCCATAAGTGTGAAAAATGGTCATAAGTCACTTTTTTTCAATGCTGTTGTAACTTCAAACAATCACTAAATGAATGATTGTTAAGTTGAGGACTACCTGTACTTCTGTTTCCACAATGGCCAACTAGAGTTGGAAAGACATAAAATAAGAGTTGGCAGATTAAATGTGCTCTGTAAACTGTGATTGCCAGTTCTTGCTTTACCTCCTTTAGCTATGTCTATTCTTTTCTATATCTTCTTGTTTTTATAAGGTGGCCTATCTAAGAAACCCTAATGAGAAGGAAGGACTCACTGGAGAAGAGCCTAATGCTGGGAAAGATTGATGGCAATAGAAGAAGGGGACAACAGAGAATGAGGTGGCTGGATGGAGTTACTGAAGCAGTAGGCGTGAGCTTAAATGGACTCCAGAAGATGGTAGAGGACAGGAAGACCTGGAGGAACATTGTCCATGGGGTCGCCATGGGTCGGACATGAACGCAACTAATAACAACAACATCTAAGAAATAAGGGCAATTAGAATACATGCTTGTAAAATATTTCTGAAGGAGAAACTGAAAAGGAATTATTTGTCAATTGTAATACTCCCCATGTCAATGTTTTACTTCCTGTGGCCTGACAGTTGTTGATCTGGGAGCAATATCCAATAGGAACATGTCTTACACTCTTTTTTATCTTTTTCTTTCCTTCGGCAATAACCATCCAGTGCAACATTCTAGAATGGGAAAGGTCCGTGTTGTCATCACCGTAGATCCAGCTGACATAGAGAAGGCTGTTGAAATATTCAACTGAAGTGATTTTAGGGGACACAGGAGCTACCAGGAAACAAACAAAGAAACATACACACCACAGTTATCATCATTGTCAACACAATCATCTTATTCATCTCCCCCCCCAATGTACACTATTTATGTAGGAACACATTCTTTTTTTGAGGACCTCTTCTTTACTTCACTTCGCCAGGTGGTGCGGTGTCTCAGTGGTTAAGACACTGGGCTTGTCAGCTGGAAAGTTGGCAGCCCAGGTTCAAGACCTGAGCACCATGCGATTGGGTGAGCTTGCGTTCTCACCTCAGCTCCCACCAACCTAGCAGTTTGAAAGCACACAAATGCAAATAAATACTACCACTTTGATGGGAAGGCAACAGCACTCCATGATGTCATGCTGGTCACATGACTGCGTGTCTTAGGACAGCGCTGGCTCAAAGGCCTTGAAACGGAGATGAGCACTGCCCCCTATAGTCGGCAACGACTAGCAGAGTAAAATCTGCAGGGACTCCCCTCTCCTTCTTCACACATCAGACTTGGAGTAGTCTGCCAAACAAGTCACCAAAGGGACCTCAAAGATTATCTGTTCCAATAGTTACAACATTTTTTTAGGCCAAGAGCTTCATTTTGTACTTGAATGAGATCTTGGAGGGCAACATGCCAAAAAGTATGTGGGGACAGTACCTAAACTAATATTTGTTTTAATATAATACACACTTGTATTTGATTAAATTTGAATTAACTGAAGGTAATGGATTTAATTTTAATTTAAGTATCTTCACATACTTAATACTCTTCTCCTTCTTCACATGGATATTTGGCAAGCATCTGAAAGTACTGAAGAATGATATATGCAATCTTGGGGTCACAGATTGGGCATCTTCATCTAATCCAGGAGTGTCCAACCTTGACAATTTAAAGACTGGTGGACTTCAAGTCCCACAATTCCCCTGCCTGACATCCCTGATCTAATCCAACCCCCTATTGATAGAAGAAATCTTTGGTTATCCACTATCCTAAAGATGACTGTGTCCAACATTTTCTGAAGCCCTGAACTAACATTGAGTTCTTCCCAAGGCTACATTAAAATCTACAGTAGTTGAATCAGTTGGTTCTTATTATTCAAAGTGATGGAAAGCAAAATTGTTCCATAATCTGATAGCTATGCAAATATTTGGAATTGACTAGCGTATAACTTTTTAGACTGAAATCCTAAGATTTTTCTATTTGGTTAAGCTTTTGAAGAAGCAGTTATGTATATTTTATCAGATTGCAGAGTCCTCTGTTTTTAAACCAGTTCATACACATTTCAATCATCTGCCAAGGAAAATGGAAACAGTCTACTATATTTTTTTTGAAAGAGCACCAGCTAAAGAATCGTAACCATAGCTTCCTATTATATGTTTCTTTAACTTTGTCAGATTGCTTTCTTTAAAAAAAAATAACAAAGCTATGTTTAATAGGATATTTATCCTAACAAAAGACTAGATATATACAATTGAAGAATTGTATCTCCCATACACTCACTTAGATTGGAGATATGAACGGAGTGAAAAAAATTGAAATATACAGTACTAGCATTCCAGATTCATTAATTCTGAGCATGTTTTACATGCTCACCTATCAAACTCAAGGTGCATCAACTCCACTGTCAGAAAAATAATTACATATTGGGATGAACAGTAGAATCTGAAGAATTCAGAACTACATTGAACAGACTAAATCTTGGGTTGGCATAAGGTATTTGAATGTTCTTTAACTGACTTGGTCTGTTTTGTCCAGATACAGTTATTTCATTTCAAATAACTTCATATGTCAATAAATCTTTGGGAAGAAATGTTGCAGTTGGGATCTTAATGTGATGTTGAATATTACTCCTGAAGCATGGAATTCATCATCTCATTAAAAAACTTTGCTCTATCAAGCCTGAGGCATGATAAAGTGGTGGATAATTTTACGTAACTGGGGAGAAACTCACTCTCCTGACTTTAAGGAATAGATTCTATGAGGCTTTGAGTCTACTATTGAATAGTCTTTATATTCTAAAAATGAGATGAAGCAATATGTTGCTATATGGTCTAGATTTAATGATAAACATCAAAACTGAATTGTTTTAATATCATCATCTACATTTATTATATGAGAGTTTATTTAAATCTTTCTAACATATGTAGGTTTTCTTTTGTTTTTGTATAATCACTTTTTTTCTGTTGATGCTGGGTTTTATCTTGTATTTCACCATTAAAATATACCCATATTCCTTACCTTCCTTCCAATAAACATGCAAATTATGGATAGACTTTCACCAGAAAAGCTGATCATAAATTGTTCTACTCCTATAAAATATACTGTTACACACTGATTTTGGAGTCCATATGTTTGTTTTATCCTCTTGAAGATACACATGTACCTAGGTGTACAGATATTGCTTGCAGACAATGACATGCAATGAAAATAGTGTGTAAATTAATGCCCAAGTAAGAGTTGTATTCAGCTTTTAAAAAATCAAAAATAGAGCTTTAGCATAACTTCTAACATCAAGATGACATACAGTAGCTGTTTCCAGAGATCTAAGGGCAGCCACACTGAGTGAACCTGGGCATGGTTTAGTATGAGAATAAGACCAAGCAAGCTCTGAATTTGCTGCCTGCTTCCTTCTCCTCCTCTAGTATAATATACACAGGTGACTAAGTTCTCCAATATTTCCCTCCCCAAAAAAACCCTTTGAAGTAGGCTGTTCTGTAAAATAGAAATTGCTCTGTGAATTTTTGTGGCTGAGCTCTTGCTGGTCTTCACGCAAAACCGTAACTATCAAACTAACTGCTTTTCCATCTTTAACTGCTTATCCGAAAGATACGATTTAAAGTACCTTTCAAAGAAGCACAGATGAAAGCTCAGATTCAAACACGGCAGCTTCAGCTTTTTTCCTTTGGAAAATGATGCTAAAATTAATTTGCCTCAGTCCAAAGCCTTCTTCAAAAAAAAAATCCTTACTGATGCCGTGAATGTATGAAACAGGAATAAACAGAGGCATTTATTGAATCCAAAGATGGCATCGGAATGAGAAATGGATATTGTGCAATTGTGATGTATACTCCACCGTTTAAGTGCATGCATGACAAGCAGGGAAAAATTTGTAAGATGAACACACACATTAATTGCTCTTCACTGTGGGGGAAACCCAAGGGGACAAATTAACTACAGATACTCCTTGAGTTATAACTGTCAATCGGGACTGGAATTTCTATTGCTATCCAATGCAGTCATAAACCACAATGTCATCTATCCACATCACTTAGCAAGGCAATTCCATTTCCCATTGTAACCTGTTGACCTCGGTTATAAATATGAACCAGTCGCCAAGCATCCAAACTTTGATCATGTGACCACGGAGATGCTACAATAGTCGTAAGCATGAAAAATGGTCATAAGTCACTTTTTAGTGCTGTTGTAACTTTGAACGGTCACTAAAAGAATGATTGTAAATCGAGGACTACCTGTATGTTAACTCTTCACAAGGAGGAAAAGACTGTGACCTAAGAACTACAATTGTGGAAAGGAAAAAGTGCTCTGGAGCAGGGGTCCTCAACCTTGGCAACTTTAAGACTTGTGGACTTCAGCAAAGCTGGCTGAGGAATTCTGGGAGTTGAAGTCCACAAGTCTTAAAGTTGCCAAGGTTGAAGACCCCTGCTTTGAGTATGTGGGACACTCCCCTTGTAGCTCTTTGCAACTCCTTAAAGCAGCTATATCTCTTCCAAAGATCATGAGGCTTCCTTCCACCCGTCTTGCAATTCTGTGAAAAAGCTCATTTGATTTAAAGAGCTGCAGCAACATAAGCACTCCTGCACTCTCCAAACCACCATGTTTCTCTCAAATCCAAAGCTCTAATAAAGGCCCTCCTGGGTCTTTCAATGGACATGAAGATTTAGAAGAAGGACATCAAAAAACAGAAGTTTATCAATGATTCCTCTTTACCTGTTATGAAACCAATGGTGGAAGTATCACAACAGCTAAGCTCAGGTTCTCCCCACGTCACCATGGTAACTCGGAAGTTATAGTACCAGGCGGGCAGCAGGTTGTCTATTTTCTAAAAAGGAGACAAAGAGACAGAATCAGTGAGTTATTATCTTAATGGGCCATAGGTTACCAGGTACTATTTAAAAATGGCAAGAGTCCCTGCTTGTAGGGAGAGAGGTGATAACAGTTGGATCAGTATTACCTCTAAATCAGTGGTTCTCAACCTGTGGGTCGGGACCCCATTTGGGGTCGAACAACCATTTCATGGGGGTCGCCAAACCATGCTGTCCACCATTTTGTTCCCTTTTCCCTAGCTGTCCTACTCCCTCTTATTGGTGGCCACACCCACTTGGGGGTCACCACAACATGGGGAACTGTATTATGGGGTCACGGCATTAGAAAGGTTGAGAACCACTGCTCTAGATATTATTTCTTCTCTTTCCCTTGTAAATAACAGATTTTTTTTAAAACTAAGACGCTTCTTAAAATACAATGCACAAATTTAGAAAGCCTGGCCTGATGTGTTCTGACTGTGTTGGCAGAGAATTCTGGGAATTGCACATATAATGTAGCTGAAGGACACCAGATTATGGAAAGCTAGCTGAGAAAACTCATGTTTCACATGGTGCTGAAAACATCACAAAGCAGGAACCAGCCAAGTCTCTTTGAGGAAAAATCATACCTGCTTCACTTGGGACCTTACCCAGAAAAGGCCTCTGAGATTGATCTCACGATCCATGGTGACATATGTTAGGAAAGACAATCCATAATTCTAGCTGAAATTCATGGGAGCAGCAGAAGTTATTTTCTGCAATTTCCCATATAGAATAACATAGTATGGAGCCCCATCCGCTCAATAAAATTAAAGAATGTCTTAAACCTCATCAAATGTCAGGAGATTGGATGACTTAGCCTCTTTGATCCTGTGTGATATTTCATTCTCATCTGAGATATTAAGAAATATCTAATGTCATAATGCCTGCTCATACTTTCTCAATTGTATAAGCAATCGTGAAAGATTTCAGCCAGTTCATATATTTTTCTCTTTAATTTGCATGGTCACTAAACACCATCTTGAATGCCCTAGTCCAGGGGTAGGCAACCTTGGCTCTTTTATGACTCATGGACTTCAACTCCCAGAATTCCTGAGCCAGCATGGAATAAAAGAGCCAAGGTTGCCTACCCCTGCCCTAGTCTTACACTCATATATTGCTAATCACTGCTTTTGGATAGCCCTTCAAATTGTTTTTTTCTGTCAGCAATTATATGAGTAAGAATTTTACTGGATTATTTCTACCCATTGTTATATATAGTAGAACATATTAGGGGGTCTGTATTTGAATTGTAGGCTGAATTCACTTTACCACTGAAGAAGTGAGTGAGACGGTTGCTGCTATTTCATAGTGTGTTGTCCACTCAGAAGTCATTGTTGATGGGTTGAAATAAAACATCTCCACGATATATTTCCGAAAGACACCAAGGTAAGGCCTGTTCCAGCTGAGGACCACAGCTGTGGGTCCCAGAGGATAAAGGGTTAAATCTTTAATCCCAGTTGGCACTGTAAAACAGAAATGGAAAGCTGTTGTACATAGAGAAATTGTCACATATTCCAAATAAGATCTGGAAGTCCCATACTTTTCCAACGTGATGAGTTGAATTTTTTTACCCCATCATGCCAATCCAGCTCAGCCATCATTCAGAATTTCTTGTAGGCCCTGAGTTGTGAAGAATTATTTTACTTTTAATTTTGTTATATTTATATTTTACCTTTCCTAAAAGAACACATGATAATATATATGAGAGACTTCATCTTTGACTTACAACCACAATTACCACCAGAATCTCTGTTACTAAGCAAGGTGGTTGTTATTCTTTTCAGTCCCATTGTAACTTTGTAGAGTTTCTACAACAATAGTTGTAAATTCTCAACAATGTGAAATAAATTCAATCAAGAAAACAATGGCTATGTTTACACCACATTCTTAAGTAGTCCAAAATCAACCGGCTGCAGTTTTATAAAATGTAATGCTTAGCTAGCTTTGTTAACTTAGACCAGGGGTAGGGAACCTTGGCTCTTTTGTGACTTGTGGACTTCAACTCCCAGAATTCCGGAGTCAGCATAGCTGGTTCAGGAATTCTGGATATTGAAGTCCACAAGTCATAAAAGAGCCAAAGTTCCTACCCCTGACTTAGACTAACAACCTTGCTTAGTTTTTTTGCAACTAAGCATATTGTAATCTCAGACTACTTATTTAGTTCAAAATTCACTGCCTTGTATTGACCAAGATATCTAATTAACACAATAACATGATTGTGTTGTGCCTTCAAAGTCAATGAATTCCTTCCATAACATGGCTCCTAGACATTAAAACTGGTTTCAAAATGGCAAAAACAACAACATAAACATGTATACACAGACATTACCAATAGCAAATGTAACAGGATCAGAAGGAGGCCCAACTAGTGGTCCTTTCTGTAAGTAAATTACAACTTGGTACTGAGCCCCAGGAACAAGGTTTTCTATAAAACTGCTGCTTGTATTCACCTAGAAAAATAAGAAAGTGTAGCCATAAGGACAGGATTAAAATCAATTCTATGTGTTGAACAGAAGCTAGTATTGCTTTAAGATAGCAAAGAGAAAAAGCAAAAAAGTTGCTGGAGTGGTAAGAGGGAGTACAAAAACGGTGCTAAATCCACCTCAACAGTTCCTAAATCCTCTGCAGAAGATACTTCAATTTTATTTCATTCTCAGGATGCTTGAGATATTCTTTCACATTTCTAGACGGTTATTTTGAGCTAATCCAGATCATCACCTGCAATTGTCACAGGACAGTCTGTATCCATGATCATTTTCTATAGCCTTCTTGCTTTGGTAGGTCTCCCTCAGTGTAGTAACATGAGAATGAATGAATGAATGAATGAATGAATGAATGAATGAACGAACCAACCAAACAACGAAACAACCAATGAATGGAAGTCCTACGTGCAAAACAGCAATTGTATTTTTCCATAAAGTACAACCATAAGCATATTTATTTCTTTGAGGTTTGTCTTATAACTGAGAAATTATATAAACATTATATAACATTAATGGTCTAGGACTTTCTCCGGGACCCATTTAAAAGGAACAGTCAAGAGTTAGAAGTGCTTAGTTAGAAACAATAGCACAATGGAATTTGTCAGACAATGCTTGCAAGAAAACGTGGTTTTCTTCTAGAGAAGGATTGTTGAAGATCTCTCCTTAGTGAAAACATGGAACAGGTGACAGTGTTTTTGGTGCTGACTGTCCTCCTTCCTGCTTATTTTTTTCTAAAGAAGTTAAAAATATTTTACTCCCTCCCTTAATAATAATAATAATAATCCCAGGTCCTGGGTAAGGACTCGATAGGTAGACAAAATACCAAATCCAGTCTGAACATCTGGCTGACTGTGCGATGATCCATAATAATAATAATAATAATACAGTTGGAAGGGACCTTGAAGGTCATCGAGTATAACCCACTGCTCAGGCAGGAAACCCTACACATTTCGGACAAATGGCTGTCCATTTTCTTCTTAAAAACTTCCAGTGTTGGAGCATTTACTGCTTCTGGAGGCAGGCTGTTCCACTGATTAATTGTTCTCACTGTCAGGAAGTTTCTCCTTAGTTCTAGGTTGCTTCTCTCCTTGATTAGTTTCCATCCGTTGCTTCTTGTCCTGCCTTCAGGTGCTTTGGAGAATAGTTTTCACCTCCAGTCCCCTAATCATCTTTGTTGTTCTTCTCTGTACTCTTTCTAGAGTCTCAGCATCTTTTTTACATCGTGGTGACCAAAGCTGGATGCAGTATTCCAAGTGTGCTCTTACCAAGGCATTGTAAAGTGGTATTAATACTTCATGTGATCTTGATTCTATCCCTCTGTTAATGCAGCCCAGCACTGTGTTGGCTTTTTTTGGCAGCTGCAGGACACTGCTGTCTCATATTTAAGTGATTGTCCACTAGGACTCCGAGATCCCTCTCACAATTACTACTATTGAGCAAGGTACCCCCTATACTATACCTGTACATTTGGTTTTTCTTGCTTTTCAAAATTTCCCAAGCTTCCTCCCTCTTTCCCTCCCTTCCCACTCTAAGGCAAGATATAAACACAGGTGGTAAATAATTAAAATAAATTTAGGACAATACTTAAGCAGAAGAAGGGTGATCAAATTAAGAACAGGGTGGAGATGCATTTTTCAGTTAAAAAATAACTATAATAGTATAATTAACTTCCCATCTTACCATTCACTGCTAAACCAGAATTGTAAAGAATTCTGGGTTAACTAGAAATGAGTGGTCTATAAGGAGCTATGAAATGAGTGGTCTATAAGGACCTATTGATTAATGGCTCCCACTTGCTCTTCCTATCAGTGGAGGCAGCTAAATAAAGCTGGATAGATTTGGCACAGGACCAAAGATTTTATAGCTATTCTTATAATTAAACATAATTGAAGGCTATGTGTTGTTCCTGGCTCTTAATTCCAGCTTGTTTGGAGAAAAATAAGCCAGAGTTCCTTGTTTACATATAAAACTAAACAAAATATGGATAGGGCCATCTGGACTTGTTTAGATACTCTAACTGGCAGAAGGCAAATGAGAGAAACAGATCAGCACACTGCTTTCTCCTACCCAATTCCACTGTGAAGACTTTTGCGTTGTGCAGATTTTGTGCGTATTTGCTATGTGGAATTGTGCCAAATAACACCTGGTGAAAACACCATTACTTGCATGCCTATTTTAAGTACATGAACTAACCCCTTTTTTATATTTGACCACTGTAGCTGCTGCCCTTGAAACTTAGCCAGATTCTCCTTATGGAGAGATGTTGCTGGTTGAAGTGGCTGCAGATCAGATTCCAAAGAAGGAAGGAATGAAATCTGTCAAAATAAAAGCCACTGACAATGTTGTATTGAATAATTCTGGGTACCTACATGGAAAAGCCCCTTCCCTAATCAGTTGTGGAGGGCATGGGGAACAGTAGCAGGAGAAAGCCATGGTGGAGCTACCCACTACAGGTTACCTTTGCTGAGCAAGTTTTGTAGCCCTTCAAACTCCCTCCCTCCCTCCTTACTATTGAGAAAGGCACCACCTATACCAGGGATGTCAAACTGCCGGCCCATGGGCTGGATGCGTCATTTATTTATTTATTTATGAGACTTATATACTGCTTTAAGTGCAAGCACTCTCTAAGCAGTGTACACCAGTAAGCAATGTATATATATATTTACATTGCCCCCAACAATCTGGGTCCTCATTTTACCTACCTCGGAAGGATGGAAGGCTGAGTCAACCTTGAGCTGTTCATGGCAAAACCTCGCCCACCCCATTGCCAGCAATGGGAAAAAAGTCACGATATGTCACAACACATCACGTGATGTTGCGAGTTTGACAACCTTGACCTATACTATACCTATGCATTTGGTTTTTCTTGCTTAAATGTAGAACCTTACTTTTTTCACCATTGAATTTCATTTTGTTAACTCCCAGTGTTCAAGTCTGTCAAGATTCTTCTGCATCTTAAGCCTAACTTCTGGAGTGTTGGCTATTCCTGCCAGCTTGGTGTCATCAGCAAATTTGATGAGTTCCCCATCTATCCCCTCATCCAAATCACTGATGAAGATGTTGGAGAGCACTGGGCCCAGAACAGAGCCCTGGGGCACCCCACTACACACTTCCCTCCATGTAGATGTAGTTTCATTGAGGACCACACGCTGAGTACGGCCGGTCAGCCAGCTACGAATCCATCTGGTGGTGATGCTGTCTAACCCACATTTTTCTATCTTATCAAATAGTAGGTTGTGGTCTACTTTATCAAATGCCTTACTAAAGTCCAAGTAAGTTATATCACAGCATTCCTCTGGTCCACTAATTTTGTCACTTGGTCAAAGAATGCAATAAGATTTGTCTGGCATGATCTGTTGTTGGCTTTTGGTAATGACTTTGTTTGCCTCTAGGTGTTCACTAATTCATTGCTTGATTATCTTTTCCAGAATCTTCCCAGGTATTGAGGTCAGGCTGATAGGTCTATAGTTTCCTGGATCCATTTTTCCCCCCCTTTTTTGAAGATGGGAACTACATCAGCTCTTTTTCAGTCTTCTGGTAGTTCCCCAGTGCTCCGGGATCTTTGAAAGATACAGTTCAGTGGTTCTGAGATCACATCTGCCAGTTCCTTGAGAACCTTGGGGTGTAAATCATTTGGTCCTGGTGATTTGACCTTGTCTAGGGTGGACAGCTGCTCACTTACCATTTTCTTGCCTATGTTAACATGTTTATAATCTGTTTTTTTACAGTACTGTTTTTGATAGGTTGGACTGTTTTTTCCCTTTTGTGTAAAGATGGATGCAAAAAAATGAGTTAAATAGTTCTGCTTTCTCCCATTTTCTCTCAGTAATGGACCAATCATTTCCTTAACATTTTTCTTTTTCTTTTTGCATGTTGAAAGAAGCTTTTTTTATTTTTGACTTTTGTCGCAAGACTTAGTTCATTTTGAGTCTTAGTTTTCCTCACTTCATCTTTGTAGACTCAGGCTATTTGCTGATATTCTGCCTTAGTTATGTACCCCTCTTTCCACTTTTTATACTTGTCCTTTTTGTCTTTCAGTTTATCAGAGAATTCTTTATGCAGCCATGCTGGTTTCTTTTGAGAGCTGTTATTTTTATTCTTTGTTGGTATTGTGCTAGATTGGGCTTCTATAATTTCACTTTTCAAAATTTCCCAGGCTTCTTGAGTTGTTTTCCCCATGAGGATTCCCATCCATGGAATCCTTCCCAAGCTCTAAGTTTGTTGAAATTAGCTCTCTTAAAGTCCAAGACTCTAGTTTGACTGTGTTCTATTGCTTGTGCTTGCATAATGTTGAATTCCAATATTGCATGATTACTCTCCCCCAAGGTTCCTGTGGCTTCAACACCTTCTATCATTTCATCTCTGTTAGTGAGAATTAGGTCCAATATGGCTGATTCCCTAGTTCCCTTCTCTACTTTTTGGGAGACAAAGATGTCTGCTAGGTTTGTCAGGAATCTGTTTGATTTTCCAGTTGGTGCAGAGTTTGTCTCCCAGTTGATGTCAGGGTAATTAAAGTCCCCCATTACTATCGTGATGTGCTTCCTACATACCTTAGTTAGCTGACTAGCAAAAAGTTCATCTATTTCCTCTGTTTGGTTGGGTGGCCTATAGTATACACCTATGGCAATGTCATTCCCCCCCCTTTATATTGATCCAAATGCATGTTATTTGTATAACACTAGAAAACTACGAAGAGGATGTGTATACCTAACATTGTATGTATTAATAATAGTAACAATTGTATTTGTTCAATGTTGAGAAAATGAAAACACTGTGGGAAGAAGAAAGGATCAGGGGAAAAAACACTGAGTTGTGTAGCATTGAATAGATTTATATTGAAGAAATTAAGATGCAATATTGAGTAACAAATGGACCTGGACACCACACTGTTTACCAAGCACTTATGATTTGTAATAATAGAAAATGAATACAACACATTAAAAAAAAAGTACAGATACTGAAATCAACAAAACAAATTAATTATGCTTGATTTAAGCTGCTTTAAGTTGAAAAAGGCCCCTCTGAGGCTGATGAAATCTGCACCCAGAGGGATATCAGCAAGGTGAGAAAAGGAATGTGTGCCTCTTACCTCTGTGCAATAATGTTTCTCCAGCCTTTGGCTCTCCTTCTGCTTCTGACAGGTCAAGGAAACAATTGACACAATGGTATTATTGCTCCCAGCAGTCTCCTGAGAAGTTGTCCAAGACAGAGAGGCTGTGGTGGAACTCAGCACCGTCACCACAACATCCTGAGGCTTTTCTGTCAGCCCTTCTATCAATTCTCCTGTAGGACCTAAAATATCACCAAAAGCCAGAAAAGGTGGTGGTCACCGTTAATACTTGTGCTTCTCTCTAGCTGAAATAACATTAGTTGCTTCCAGACATAGCATACCAAAAATGGTGACACAGAGGTGACCCATGAGGTCTGGAGTGAGAGGAAGAACTACGGTGTCCGTCCCAGACAATGTTACTACTCAATCTTGGGTCAATTATGCTACTCAATAAGTCTTGCTCTGTGGAGTCCTAAAGTAAAACATCTCCCCAGTAAGCTTAACAAAACCAGTTAAAATTTCCCAGCATTTACATGTGAAACATTATTACAGGTAGTCCTCAATTTACAACAGTTGGTTTAGTGACAGTTCAAAATTACAATGGCACTGAGAAAAGTGACTTATGACCATTTTCACAAATACAACTGTTGCAGCATCCCCATGGTCATGTGATCAAAATTCAGACGCTTGGCAATGGACTCATATTTATGACGGTTGCAGTGTCCCGGGGTCATATAATCATCTTTTGCAACCTTCTGACAAGCAAAGTCAATGGGGAAGCCAGATTCACTTAACAACCATGTGACTAACTTAACAACTGCAGGTTGTAAAACGGGGCAAAATTCACTTAACAACTGTCCTGCTTAACAACCAAAATTTTGGGCTCTATTGTGGTCATAAGCCAAGGACTACCTGTTCTTTTAACCTTGGTTTTGTTTGACGATTTGGACTTAAGGTGTTATATAAACCAAGTCTTTTTGATTAATTTTTGGTTCAATATATTATATAAATTAAAAAAAACCTGGTCAACTCAGTAATAAGATGCCCACGGGCAGATGCAAACATGCCCACGGGCAGATGTTGCAGCCCTTCGCAATGTATACTTCCTGTTCCTTCTCAGAGCAAGTCATACGGGGTGTTTTAGTATGATAAGCCACTTCAGAGAGTGGCGGCTGGTTTGGGAGAGGAACTGGGATGACAGCAGATGGCAGACAAGCTCCAATTTGCCACTTCTCCTGCCCTGCCAGCTAAAGCAACTGCATCACTCTGAACAGAGGTAACAGATCACTTCTCTGTAATTTTTTTAATCAGACAGCCATCAGAATGTGACTCCTCTAGCTGAGCAGAAAGGATGGGGATGTGTGTTTTTGTGTGTGTTTGTATGTACAAGAAAGAGGAGGATATATAAAGATAAAACCAGAAACTTTCCTTTTGGGTTTAATGGAAAAAGACTTGGGGAAAAAAATGGAACTTCAATGTTATACAGTATAGGTTGACGGCAGCAAGATTACTTTTTGCATAAAAGTGGAAGGACATTTTGATTCCCATAATGGATGAACAGCTAGAAAGATTGATGGAGTTAGCAGAGATAGCTAAATTGACTGCTTTGATTAAAGAAAAAAAAACAATTCCTTTTGTTTCAACTTGGAAACCGGTCCTGGACTTTGTGCTTGAGGTGGGAAAAAATGAAACGTTGGTTATTATCATGTTCTACTGCACCAAAGGGAGTCAGAAGTCAACAACTTTTCTTTCTTTTTTCCCCCTTCTTCCTACAGTTTTCCATTTTCTTCTCCCTCCCTTATTTTCCTACAATTTTCTTTTCTATTTTTGTATTTTATATTATAAACTAATAAAGAAAAGAAAGAGGGGATATAATAGGGAAGAAAAGGCTGATAGGTAGAAAGAGGAGACAGTTCTTTCAGAGATGGATCTGAATAAAATAGTACCTCAAGAGGGCTGATCAATGCTGTCCTGTATGATTACTTTTTAGTACTTATTCTTTACTTGCAAAGATAGCAAATATTGTAAAACTGCACTATATCACCAGTGTTCTCTCATGCAAAAGAAGTTGTATCAGGGTTATTTATGGCTCAGGTAGATAGCAGGATGGGATGGAAATTAATAAATACCCAACACAAGCAGATAAAATAGAAAAAATATTTATCACCGATGAAGCGGAACATTAACTAGCTATAGGTTATTTTTATTAGTGATTTATAGTGTATTGCAGCAGCATCCAACCATTGCTATGCCAATAAATCATAATGAAGAGACACTTTATCTTGCCACGAAGACAGCTGGATGAAGCTATAAGATGCTGTAAATCACTAGTGAGAAAAAGACTACAATTTTTTACAACTATCCATATATATATCATACGAATATCTTAACTTACTAATATAAAAGCAAAGGGTTTGGGTAGATTGGCTTTCCCGTGCTTCACATGATCCAGAGGAGCTAAATGTTGTAACCAACAATGTATATTTTCCTGGTTCTTTCAGATCAGTGACAAATTCGTGAATGTCTTCTGGAACTGTCAGGAATTCTGTGACATTCTCTAAATCAAGATAAGAGATGATATATGAGAATCAACTGCAATTACAAGATTCTGGCAAAAAAAATCTAATCTAAATGCTTAAGAGTGTTATTTTGCAAATTCCTTTGAATAAGTTATCAAAGCAATCCATTCAAACTAGCATAAAACTGAAAACAATAGGACATCTGAAGAAGGCATTTTCCAATTGTGGTCCAATTGTTTTCAAGGTAAAAGCAGAAAAAAGAGTGACTACACTCCACTATATTAAAAAAAATAACATTACTTTAAAATATGATATATGTATGTCTGGATACCATCCAGATCAAAATACATTTTAAAATGTTTACATTGAATTATACTTTTGAGGGAAACAATGAATCTCTTGCATAAGCACAATAAATCAAACTAAGGCAATAGTCAAGTAAAACTTAGTTATGTATCAAAAGAAGCCAATTTTGGGCATCCTTAATCAAGCTATTCTTAAAGTAAAAGCCAATTATGTGGAAAGAAAGTCTCCACCTATGTATCTTTAGACAAACATAGTTTGATAGGTGCAGTTTAGAGCTGTACTGTATGTGGTGTTAAGCTCCGAGGACCAGTGTTCTAAATTATGTTTTTGTAACGTTACCTTCTCTCTTAATACGAATATGAAAGCCATCAAATGCTGTGGGTGGCTTTGGAGGTAACCAGCTCAATATCATTTGCACTGGAAGGAACGATGGAGGTCCTAAAGTAGGTTTTTCAAGTTCTACAGTTGGGATGAGGTTCTCATAATCCCTTGGAACTGCGTTAACAAACTCATTCTCATCCTCGGATTCATTAGTCCACCAATCTGGCTGAGATGTGCTTTCATAATCACTGCTGTTGGCATGATAATCAGGCCAAATATAGGAAGCATTCACTGTTGGGAGCTCAGACAACTCATCCAACACTGGAGTAACTTTTTCCTGCCCCATAGCATTTTGTGTCTCCAAGAAGATTTGTTCTGGGGAATTCCCACTGTGCTCTTCTTCCCAGTTCTCACGGCTATTCTTGCGTACAATTTGTACAGAAATGTTTCGCGGTGGATAGGGAACTGAAAAAGACCAGAAGGCATATTTAAAACATTCACTTGCTGCCCTAAGTTTGTGGGATCAGAAGGGAGCATTGCAGAAGGAATGCATTGCTTTAAGAAGATGGTCAGCTACCATCAAACTGAGGCAGCGATTTTCATAAGCAATTTAAGAATTAATTTGAATTTGTCCTCTGGATATTTTTCTACAGATGCATATGGGATGGAACTAAATGCAGCAACTTTTCCAGAGGTTTGCCAGAACTCTTAAGAAAGCTAAGGGGAGGCTTGTATAATCCAACTCCACTTATGCATCAAAATAATAATAATAATAATAATAATAATAATAATAATAATAATAATAATAGAAAGAACTAGAGAAGATAACAAAATACAAAGACCTACAAATAGAAATAGAAAGACTGTGGCAAAAGCAAGCAAGGGTAGTACCAATAGTCATAGGCTCCTTGGGTGCAATCCCAAAACAACTGGAGCACCACTTGAACACCATTGGCATTGACAAATTCGCTATTAGTCAATTGCAAAAGGCGGCCTTACTAGGAACTGCTTCCATCCTGCGACGATATCTGTAATACCATCAAACATCCACATCTGCCTATCCCAGGTCCTGGGTAAGGACTCGATAGGTAGACAAAATGCCAAATCCAGTCTGAACATCTGGCTGACTGTGCGATGATCAATAATAATAATAATAATAATAATAATAATAATAATAATAATAATAATAATCATCATCATCATCATAATAATAATAATCATAATAATAATAATGGAAATGCATCACCTAAAAAAGGGTATAGTTTTCATAAGAGTTGCATAGGATTAAATCTATCAAGAGGTACAACTTCAGAAAGATTTTCTAGAATCTTTGTAAAACCATTCTGTAAAATTAAAATCTAAGCTTCCTTTTAAAGTGCCATTTCGTCAGCCCATTCTACTGTATAATTTACAGCAGTGGTTCTCAACCTTTTTAATGCCGCGACCCCCAACCGGTCGTAAGTCAAGGACTACTCAACCGGTCATAAGTCAAGGACTACTCAACTGATGCAGCACCGTTTGCAGAATGGGACTTTTGGCGGGCTCAGCAGAGCAGAGACAGCCTGGACAATTCCTATTGGCTTTTGAAAGCCAATAGAATTAGACTCTATTCAAGAGAGTCTATTCTATTGGCTTTCAAAAGCCAATAGAATAAAAGGGAATAGCACAGCTAAGGAAAAGGGGAAAAAAATGGCGGACTGTGTTGTTTGGCGACCCCCATGAAATGGTCGTTCGACCCCAAATGGGGTCCCAACCCACAGGTTGAGAACCACTGATTTACAGGATGGACAAAGTTTGGGTAATGGACGGCTGTACTTCATTTTTTGAGCTGAGTTCATGGCTTCAGTAGACAGCAAAAGTAGGCAAAGAGGATGAGGGCATATCAAATGCAAGAGCAGGGCAGAGATTTTCTCATTTTTCTGGCTGTGTGGCTAAGATTGCATTATACCTATACTGTAGTACAATTTTTGTGTATTTCTTCCCTTGCAACAGCATTTTTTTTGTAAGTTCCAGCAGAAAAGGTTTCAGGATGCACCCCAAACAAAGTGGTGGTGGTGGTCAAGAGGTGCTTTTGGCCCCAAGACCATCAATTTCTGACAGCATCTAAAGCAGCATTTATCAACCTTGGCAACCTGAAGATGTGTGGACTTCAATGCCCAGAATTATCTAGGCAACACGTAAGAAAATTCTGCCTAGACAGAAGTTCAGAGAAATCAAAGCCTGCTCAGATGATATATGCATAGCAACCTTTCTGCATCTCCTGTCTCCTAGATCAGAGGTCTCCAACCTTTTGGGCATTGGGGACCGGTTCCGTGGAGAGAGGTTTTTCCGCGAACTGGAGGGTGCATGGTTTTGTGTGCTGCCTGCAATTTGCGGATGAGGTTTTGCTTGTTTGTGCAGACCAGTTGCTGGCATGCCGTGGCCCAGTACTGGTCCATGGATTGGGGGTTGGGCACTTCTGTCTTAGATGGCTTGGATTATAATTCCCAGAATTCCTAGATGCTGGCTAAGAACTCTGAGAAATATAGTTCAAACCATCTAGAAGGAGCCAGACTAGGAACGCTGACCTAAAAATTCTGAGAAAAGCAAACAAACATTTGATGGCAGCGCTAAGCTGACCCAGGAAATAAATCACTGGTAATTGTCTATCTTTTATCACAGCTGGGTTTTTGTGATAAAGAATGTTGAAATGATGATAAACGTTTAAAGAACATTCTTGCCTATCTTGAAAATAAAAATGTTAATAATATTGGAGCTTTATTTATATCCTGTGTAATCTTAAAACAGGTTGGACATTTACTCAGATTTATTTTTGATAAGATAGCTCTATTCTATTCTGTTCTGTTCTATATTTTTTATTCTATATTCTGTTCTATTCTGTTCTGTTCTATTATATATTCTCTCCTATTCTCCTCTCCTCTCCTCTCCTTCTATTCTGTTCTGTTCCTGTTCCTATTCCAGTGGTGGCGAACCTATGGCACGGTGCCAGAGGCAGCACTCAGAGCCCTCTCTATGGGCATGCATGCCGTCACCCCAGTCCTATGCCTTCAGCTAGGTTTTATAAAACCTTTTCACTTTAGGCCTCTGCTGCCGTGTACAAAAAAAAAAAAGGTTCAATCAATCAAGTTCTCGTGGGAAAAAAAAAGATCTTGCAAAGTTGGAATTGATTGATTGAACTTTTTAGTCCCGCCCAGTCTGCTGTTACCACCATAGCCACGCCCACCCAATGGGCCACATCCACCCAATGGGCCACACCTACCCGGCACCCAACGATGCATAAGTGGGTTTTGGGTTGCAGTTTGGGCACTCGGTCTCTAAAAGGTTCGCCATCACTGTTCTATTCTATTCTATTCTATTCTATTCTATTCTATTCTATTCTATTCTATTCTATTCTATTCTATTCTATTCTATTGTTCAAGGCATAAACTGATGAAGAGTTGGGAACTAGAGAAAGGAAATGAGGATAGAATTGCATCATTTCTCACCTCCTTATCACATTATGTAAAATTGGCCCAGAGAGCATGATCAAGGAGTACTTTGTCTTCCTTGAAGTATGTCCTTGGTGAGATGGTTGCTAAAATTGAATCATCTCTCCCAGACTGACTACTGGGAGATGTTCTTGTCAGAAAGTACAGTGTAACAGTTAGCAGGCAGGAAATAGATCAAATGATTCCTGAATTTGTATGGAGAGAAGAAACTTGCTGCTGCATCTGTGGGCTAACAGCCTGTCTGACAGCCTTTTGAGAAGGGCCAGATCAGGAAACAGACCTGACATGAAATACCTAGAACTCTACTTTGTTGGTCGGTTGAATTTGTTTTAAAGAGAAGAAAAAACAGAAAATTTTCTGGAAGATCCTGATTAGCAGTTAATACCCAATCTGCACTAGGCTGGGGAAAATAATCTAGTAATCATAGATACACAAACTCACATTACCTGTCCGATGCTGCTTAGGTTCATGCTCAACCCCACTGTATTCCACCAGCGTGGTTTTATTGAATGTTGCTTCCGATACCAGCTGAAATGTGATATTGCTGTAACATATTCCAGGCAGCCAGTGATTGAAAACCGTTTTGCCTTTAAAGAAATCTGTGGAGCGGTAAATAAATGTTACATATTAAATTAGCTCATTCAAATTCACAGTCCTGAGGAGGACTGTTTGTCACTGTCATGAAGATTTAAAGAAGAATGTAAACTATTAGTAACATTTGAATTTCTTATGCTCTTATTCGTCTCTCTTTTTCTGGTTGTCATAAGCCCTTAGAAGCTCAAGCCAAAGAAACAAACTTGAAACCTGGCAGTTATTACAACTGGCAACATGAACTGAGCGATAACAAATATTTCAAAGAGGAGATGATATAATCTTCTTGACATGATCTGCATGAAAAAGGTTCTGAACACTAAGGGACAGAGTATAAATAAGCCAAACACGTAAAACTGATTGTCAAGTTACTTCTGTCAAGAAGAGATAAACCTTATGCTTCGGGGTCTAATTTCTTTTTTGTTTAAAACCTTGAAAACAAGCCAAAACATTTCAAATTACAGAACAGAAAATTCCAACAATATTCCCAATGGGAAAATTCAGTCTTTTCACATAAGTGTTCATTCCTAGTTCAGTCCTTCAAGCCTCTTAAATGTTATTATTAATAACTGGGAGTCAGGAATAATTGGCTAACTGGTTGCAAATCAATCAAAAGAAGTATGTATGTATGTATGTATGTATGTATGTATGTATGTATGTATGTGTATGTATATAAGCATACATGCATTCATTCATTCACTCACTCATTCAATTTTTATAGCTGCCCATCTCAATCAATGGCAGTTTACAGTTCCAAAACTATAAAAATGACCTAATTTTTTTAAAAAAAATAAAACTTCCAAAATAAATATACACAACAGCCAAAATAGTCAACCAGTTAACAATAAAACCAAGGAACCTTAATTCATTTAGTGCCCCTAAGAGCTTGGAATGCAGCCAAATTTTTAAAGCCAAGTTTTTAAGCTGACAGTATGGTACAGTGGTAAAGAGGCTGAATGTGGACTAGAAGACCCAAGTTCAAATCCACCCTCAGTAGGGTAACTTTGAGCCAGTTCCTCTATGATGGTTCTTCATAACTCACAAGGTTCAGCTGCAGGGAAGGTAATAGAAAGGGAAGTCTGGATCTACGAAATTAACATATTAACAAATAACAAATAGATATCCCCTGTCCCAGGAACAATTTTTGCAAGGCATCCTGACAGATATGGGGCAGAAAGAGGGGAAAAGTTGGCCCCCTGAGTACAGTAATCAATGACAGTCATTCTCACAAAATGCTACACAATGTCAGTATGTTACATGTCAAGATTACATTAAAATATTAAATGTTCAAAATTTAATATTTTAAAATGGCGGAAAGAGTTAATGCAAGGAAAATGAGAACTTACAACAGTAGCTCTTTTATCTACTTAATGTAGATGTGTGCATACATTCATACATGAATACTACTACTAATAATAATACTAATAAAGTTGGAAGGGAACTTGGAGGTCATCTAGTCCAACCCCCTGCTCCGGCAGGAAACCCTATACCATTTCAGACAAATGGCTGTCCAGTCTCTTCTTAAAAACTTCCAGTGTTGGAGCATTCACTGCTTCTGGAAGCAGGTTGTTCCATTGGTTAATTGTTCTGTCAGGAAGTTTCTCCTTAGTTCTAGGTTGCTTCTCTCCTTGCTCAGTTTCCATCCGTTGCTTCTTGTCCTGCCTTCAGGCACCTTGGAAAATAGCTTGACTCCCTCTTCTTTGGGGCAGCCCCTGAGATATTGTAACACTGCTATCATGTCCTCCCTCGTCCTTCTCTTCGTTAAACTAGACATACCCAATTCCAGCAACCGTTCCTCATATGTTTTAGCCTCCAGTCCCCTAATCATCTTTGTTGCTCTTCTCTGTACTCTTTCTAGAGTCTCAACATCTTTTTTACATCGTGGTGACCAAAACTGGATGCAGTATTCCAAGTATTCCAAATCATTGTCTCCTTTAAGTCCACTTTGAACCATAAAGTTCTCTTGTCCAAATACATATGCGGTCTGCTTTACATTGTTGCAGATTCTTTTAAAAAAATTCCCAGTCCCACCTGCTGTCTTGGGGAGGGAATGTTTCCTTGTATAATTCCATTTATAGAAAAATACTGATGCTCCCAACATTGCTTTTGAAAGATAATTCTCAAGATTGTTTTTATTTCATTCCTCATTCTAGAAACTTGCTGTAACTGCAAAATTGTTACTGCTTATTTCTAATGTAGGTAGCCTTGACTTACGACTGGTCACTTAGCACCCAGTTGAAATTACAATGGATTTCTCCAGGGATACTTACCACCCTGGATTTGAAGTTCCGATAACTGGGCTCCCCTCCCCCCACAGTCTTGTGAATTTGGGCACTCAGCAACAAGCTCACATTTATGGCCATTTGCAACATCCCAGTCACATGACCACAACTCAGAACATTTTTTGCTAGAAACTGGCGTTTCTGGTTTCCAGCAAAAACTCCCATTGCGGACAGTGGATTTACTTAAAGACCACTGTGTTTGCTTTTACAAGTTGTAAAATTGATCACAGTCGTCCTTAACAACTGTCATGACTTTCAACCATAATTCTGGGCCCAATTACAGTCATAGGTTGAGGACTACCTACTGTCTGATTTGGGATTTGAGGATTTTATACCTTGTCAAAGAATTCCTCCCTCAAATAATTTGTGCTCTCAAAGATGGTTTTAAAAACCCAATCAATAAATGTAAATGAAAGGATTGCTCAAACATATCCACAACAACACACACTCATCCTCAATTGCTCTGGCATATAATTTGTCTTGATTTTAAGTTGTACTTTCCACCCACCTTTATATAACATGGTCCGATACTCTCTTCCTTCCCAGTAACTTATATTCACCCGAGTGAAAACATTATACTTCTCTGGATATTGGATTTCAAACAATACTTCTGTTTCAGGTGATGGTTTATAATCGTAGATGGAAACGCTGGTTACAGGTAGAGGTTCTTTGAAAGAGAGATAAAATGAAAAGAAAAAGAGTCAGTTGAGACATCCAGAAAAATGTATTGAAATCCAGTGCCATCTTTACAATGTTTTGAGACTGGCACCACCAGCTGAAGGGGAGGGGGCCCCCTCTAGGTGGAATAAACAGACATTCCAGTTTAGAATCTCTTTGGGGAAGATCAATCCCTTAAACCTAAATCTGACATTTCTCAAGGGAAGAAAGACCATCCGGTGAGATTTTTATAATGTAGGGATTGTAGGAGAAGGAGTGACAGGACCTAAGGGGGAGTCAAGCAAGTCATTAGCCTAGAGTCTCTACATTGCCACAGTCTAAGCCCAACCCCTCTTAAGCCTTATCTAGTACCAAAATAGTGCTAAGTTTTAGTTGATTAGACTCCTGTACAGAGGCATGAGCAATAAATCAGTTTAATTAGAACTTAACCTGTGGCCCTGGTCTTTTGCACCTGACAGTGATCAACAATAAAATGTCTACTTGGGCCAATCCATGAGTGATTCTGGTTGCTTGCACCTGTCAGGACTTATTCTTGCAATAAATAACTAACAATGATGGGTCCTATCAATTAAAGAATGTCATTTTGCATCTTTGGATTTCCCCCAAGATCTTATTGGCTCTGAAGTAGCTCACTTTTCAAAAAGCTTTGAAAACATGGAAGTGTTCCTAGGCTTAGAGGGAATTAGTAGAAGCTTGCGTCGATGTGGTTGAATTTGTTGTAATGGATTTATTTGAGTTTCCTTCATAGGTTTTTCTAATGCTATTTTATTCCATATCTGGACTGCGTTTTTACACATTATTATCTACCTAGATGTGTTATGGAAAGTTAAGAAAATAACTGGGTTTTTTTCTTGCCTCTTCTCTTCTTTTAAAATACTATCCTATACCCATAGAAGAACACCATAACCAGAAAGATGGTGTTTATAAATGAACATGCCAGCTTGATTTTGGTTTAAAATAACAGCAACAACAGAAGGGGCAGCACATTGAATTTTTTCTCATTTCTCCAGAAATTCTGCTTCAGAGTTATTTCTTCCTGATGTTCACCACATTTTGCAGAACAGGCCGGGAAGTTGGAGTGATGTAGTGGGGAAGAGATCTCACATTGCAAATTTGCTCCTAGAGAATAAAATGAGCTTGCAAATGAACAGTATCCTGAATGGATTTCTGTTTAGGTTGCCTTCTAATGGGTATTAATTATTTTTATTTTTTTAATCACATTTTTAAATTACCCATCTTCCTCAGAGACAGATCCTGGGAGGTATACAATATGATATTAAAATATAAAAATAATATATAAAAGTTAAAAACGTAAAAGAGGCAAGAACGAATAAAACACGGTTAAAAAATTAATTGAAAGTTGAAGGGAGAGCTTTACCAAGCAGCCCCACAATTGTGTGCCCCTTTGGGCTCCCCACACAAGCTTGCAGGGGCCATATTTTCATTCCTTTCCAGAAGGCAAGTAGGATGGGGGCCTGGGAGAATATTCAACAGGACTAGAGTAATGGCAGAGATAACAATTAGGTCAAAGAATTAGAAGTCAACTAGATCTTAAACAACTCTTCAATATTTTGTGCAGATTTGTATGTTTAAAGCAAGCTTAGTCGCTGTGACTGAATATAAATTTTCCAGCCGTTCTGTCATGATGGTTGCATTAGCCACATACTGTGTTTTTCTCTCAAAACACATCCATATATATCTACCTGCAGTGTTCAGAGAAGATGTATGTAGATTGTACTTAGCTATAATATGGTTTGAATCCTTTTGAGCTAAACATTCTCTCTCAGCCCAGCATGCCTGATTGGATTATTATAGCTTTACACCCAATAAAAGGGCCATCTTGAGCTCTTAGAGAAAAGATGAGATATCAACGCAATCAATCAATAGTTAAGTAGTGCACCAATTGAAACAGCAGTTCCCAGACTGACACCCTCCAGATGGTTATGATTGTAACTCTGAGGATTATACTGGGTGAGAATCCTGGAAGTTGCAAACCCAATACATTTGGAAAATGTTCAGTTGAGGAACGTTTGCTTATGATCGTATTTGCTACAAACCTTCCGTAATCTTTGGCCAGACACTCCCACTAAATCCAACCCTATGTTACAGTGTTTTCTGAGGAGTAAAGATGAATCAGTATTCCTGAGGAGAAAAATATGGGCTGAAGAAGGTTCTGCAAAAAATAGAATAAATGAATACCACAGACATGTCAAACACAAGGTCCGGGGGCCGGATGTGGCCCATGAAGTGGTTTCATGTAGCCCCTGAAGCCATCCTGGAAACAGTGAGGGAACGGCCCCCACTGCCTTGGCCCTGGCCCAGGCTGGCCAGCAGCCAATGTACAATTTTGTGGTGGCCAGCTATGCTAAAACCCATTCAGTCTTAGCTCCACAAGGCCATCTAGAAACAGCGAGGAACCAGCCCCTGCCGTGTTGGCCCCGCCCCCTGGGTGCATGCTGGGGAGGTGTCACCCTTTGTGAGGAATGAAGAAATGGACCATGCCTTGGTGCTTGCCCCGGTCCCATCCCCTTCTGCCAGAGACCCTCAGCTCTGTCCCACTCCTGCCCAGGCCCCCACAGGCACCCTTGACGCGAACGATGTAGAGCTGGCCATGCCCACCCAGTAGGCTACACCACTCCATCCACGCCCACCCAGTAGGCCACACCCACCCTGGCCACACCCACCCGCCCCCCCCCGAGGGCAACCGCAGTGCTGATGCGGCCCTCAATGAAATTGAGTTTGACACCCCTGGTCTACCGCAAAGAATGAAAAGCTGGAAAGATCTGCTCTTTGAACCTGTCTGGGATAAAAGAAAGAACCAGAAATCACCCACAAGTGTTCTAGATAGTTGCTCTTTATGTGGGTTTGAGCACTGGAAGACAAAGGAATAATCATCTTGCTCAAAACTAGTTTTTAGTTGATGCTTTTGAAAGGACACTAAATTCTCATATTTCCTTTTCTAATCACATTCAGAGATTAATTAAGAACTACTTTTCTGCTATTAGAAATCTTTCGATCAGCAAGTCTAAAAACATTGGGTGAGTCTTCAATCTGTATTGAAAATAATGTTTAATTACAAGCTTAAGAAATTAATTTTTTAAAAAATAAAGAGCAAAAAAGTTGGTTAAAACTTTTGATTTTAAAAAGATACAAAGGACTAAGGGTCCAGATAAATTTGAAGAAAGGTTTTGGAATTGATTATAAAGAAGCCTTCTTATGGGAAAATGCTTTTATTTTGATTTTTTATATAAAAACTAAGATTTAAAAAATTGGACACTAGAGGGAATTTAAAAAAAAGGAGATGAACACATAAATTTGACAGTTACAAAATCTTGCAAAATATACTAAGACTAGAAATATTAAAGGGCACATTCAAAAAATTATGACAATAATGGTATCTGTCTATGGATAGACTATGTCTAAAATATGTTATTGAAAAGGAACAAGTTTTACCTGAAAGACAGGCTGAGTTGAAAGTGGACATATAAATGACAGGCTACACAAATGTCATGGAAAAAGATGTTACAGTAGACATACTGAAATTTTAATAATTAAAAGGGACATACAAACAATAAACCAAGAGCCTGGATAATTTTTGTATATTGTACTTACAAAAAAGACTTGTAAAAGCTTTAAAGAATCTTGTGAGACAAAGAAGGTGTCAACGCTGCTAATATTGAATATTCTTGCTTTGACAAAATATGCAGAACTGTCTGGTATTTTTAGAGTTAATTCAGATGACAGAGAAAAGGGAGGGGAAATAACAAAAGCCAGGGAAAAGGAATGGAAGTGAATCTCTGCCCTCTGGGCTAATTGGAAGATGTGACTTGTGACTGCAAGATAAGGGAGGGGTTTAGCAAGAAAAGTTAGATGCCAGCAAGAGGAATTCAGATTTTGGCATAAACCTCCATGATGTGCCGTCAATTTGTAACACTGGTAATAAAGGTTTTAGGATAAACATGCCTGGAATTTCTTTGAAGTGTTACATTAGTCGGAACCATGACAGAAGGAATAAAAATAAATCAAGTTCTATGACATTATTTAAATGGACTAAAGATTAAGATTTTTAGAAGTTAAAAATAAGGAATATAAAGTTGGTTTATTTGATCAAGGTTAAAATAGGTTATTTCTGGTAACCTTTAATGGACTTTTGCTGATGCCAGGACTGAAGTGACCATGGATTTGTTTATAGAAAAGAGGTTATGGGAAGAACAGATATTTTGGATAATGTAAGAGGAGGTGAAATGTTACTAAAATTGTTTATACTTGTGATGAAGGCTGAGAGTCACTTCTTCATGCAGACATTTTATTTTAGTTTATAATAGTTTTTACTCTCATAATTATACTTTTTAATAAAATTTCTTGGAAAAAAAGGAGGAGAATAAGCTTCCCTAGAGCCAAGATAGGGTATAAAAGTAATGCAATGTAAGATCTAGGATGCAAGGTTATAGGATGCAATCTTCAGACAATTTCTCCAGGGCTAGGTATAAAAGAATTCCTGATTAAAGCCCTTACAAGACAGCCTTGAGATTCCAGAGAAATGCTGCTTATCACACACTACTAGCCAAGCAATCTTCCATTACTTTCTGCCTTGTACAGCTTTTGCAAGCTACTCTATAATAATCTCAATTTTCTAATTATGGCAACTTTATAGACTAAGTGATTACATTAGCTTGTTATTTCTTCCTAGAGGAAATTGAATAAGGAAGAGATGCTGTATTCATTTTTATTACAAATTTATTTCAGTCCTCTTGATCCGATTAGCTGATAATTAGATTCAGCGAAAGGCCTTGTAAATTGTCTCTTTCCTGCCATTTTCCTTCTGAAAGCCAGCAAATCAAGATGAGTCAAAGGAAGAGGTTCAGAAGGAAGAATAGATGGAAAATGTAATGTATAAAGGATGTTGAGACTCTAGAAAGAGTGCAGAGAAGAGCAAGAAAAATAATTAGAAGATTGGAAGCTAAAACATATAAAGAATGGTTTCTGGAG